TCAAACCCATGGCTCAGGCCATATGTAAGATTCCCCTTATTATACAGAAAAAGTTGCGTTATACACTGATGATTTTGTTTTGTTTCTTAATGATCCTGGTCCTTCCCTCAAAGATGCACTGATGTTAATATGCTCCTTTTTCCCCTTATCTGGTTTAAAAGTCAAGTGGGACAAGTCTAAAATTTTTCCCATTGATCAAAAAGCATATGATCTAGTACAGTGGTCGGCAAGCCGCAGCTCGCGAGCCACATGCGGCTCTTTACACACTCTAATGCGGCTCTTCTGTGTGCCGGGCGCCCGCTCCCCTCCCTCCTCTCGGGGGGCCGCCCCAAAAGTCAGGACTCTGCAGCTAGCCCAGCAATGGGCAGACTACGGCCTGGCGGACCTTTTAATCCGGCCCGCGGAGCGTGGCAAACATTGGCTGTCAGGATGTAGGCGGGGCAGCGTGACAAACTCCTCTCCTCTCACAGTCCGCCCTGAAGACCGGAACGGCGCGGGAACAAGGCGAGAGGTACGCGCGGAGCAAAGGTAAGTGAATTGACACAATATGGGGAATGAATTACTATATGGGGGATGAATTACTATGGGGGATGAATTACTATATGGGGGATGAATTACTATATGGGGGATGAATTACTATGGGGGATGAATTACTATATGGGGGATGAATTACTATATGGGGGATGATTTACTATGGGGGATGAATTACTATATGGGGGATGAATTACTATGGGGGATGAATTACTATATGGGGGATGAATTACTATATGGGGGATGAATTACTATGGGGGATGAATTACTATATGGGGGATGAATTACTATGGGGGATGAATTACTATGGGGGATGAATTACTATATGGGGGATGAATTACTATGGGGGATGAATTACTATATGGGGGATGAATTACTATGGGGGATGAATTACTATATGGGGGATGAATTACTATGGGGGATGAATTACTATATGGGGGATGAATTACTATATGGGGGATGAATTACTATGGGGGATGAATTATTATATGGGGGATGAATTACTATATGGTCGATGAATTACTATATGGGGGATGTATTTTCAGTTTTAAAAATGTGGCTCTCAAAATAAATTTCAATCGTGGTTTTGGCGAGATTTGGCTCAGTTGAAAAAAAAGGTTGCCCACCACTGATCTAGTAGATCCAGACCTACCCTTGAAGTGGATATCCAATGCCAAATACTTGGGGGTGAGGGTGGGGATTATTTCTTGCTGAATCCCTTATCATTATTGCAATTGGCAAAGCAACGCATGAAAGCTTGAGCACATCTTCCACTTTCACTTATAAGTAGGTATAACCCCATAAAAATAAGGTTGCTTTCCTCTTTCTTATATATTCCCCTGCCATGTCAAGTATGGATCTCATGGAAATACTTCAAACAATGGTCTCCTTCTTATGGAGTTCCAGACAGCCCAGATTTAGATTGGTACTACAGAGGCCCTGGACGCAAGGGGGGTTAGCATGCCCTGATTTAAATGCTTATTATATTGCTGCGTTGCTTAATCACACTCACAATAGGTTGGTGGTCGATGATACCAATGCTGCGATGGTCTTTGAGGCTGCACACTTTGGCGCCTACACCTTGGCTACCTCTGTACTTTCTGTATAGAGGTGCTTCTGCCCCTTACCACATCACACAAGCCATGAAAATGCTTATTAGGGTTTGGCAGTTGAAATGTCCTGTGTCCTCTCATCGTTGGTCTCCTCATACGCTTTTATGGTTGAATCCCCTTCTTCCTGAATTTTTCCTTTGTCCAAATCCCAATGTATGGGCATCTAAAGGGACTAAATCTCTCAACCAAATTTGTGTGGATGGTACCATTCAAACCTTTGACTCCCTAAAGACAAGATATTCCCTCCCTAATTCGTACCTGTTCTAGTACCTACCCAACAACGCCATGCATTTCAGTTGCAGTTTCACAATCAGCCGGTCACCTTTGCAGTCTCAGGAATTGAATACCTACTGCATGATAAAACATTGGTGAAACCACTTTTTCATTATATATAAAGCTCTTCAGCCCACCATTTATGAAGGTCTTGGCAAGTTATTGTCCTGCTGGCATGAGGTGGTGCAGGAGTTGGACACTGAAGACTAGGAGGCCATATTGGAATATCCCATGCAACTACTGGTCTCCACTCAGGACCGATTGATTCAATTTAAAATTCTTCATAGAGTTTTTCACTCCCCAAAAAGGATTTATCCTTCACACTCATCTAAATGCTGGGGTTGCACAGAAGAGCCAGCTGTTCTTACATATGTTTTTGGACTGTCCAGTAATTAAGTCCTTCTTGACGGATGTTTCTCAGTGTATCCACTCTGTAACAGCTATTTCTATACCCTTAACCATTGATGTTTGTATGCTGGGTTTGGTCGACATCTTGGCTGTATCCAGGAGAACCTTGCTGGAGCTGTTGATTTTTTATGCTCATAAAGCTATACCCCTTAAATGGAAATCCCCGCAGGCCCCCATGTCTGACTTCTGGAAATGTACAGTCAATAAAACAGTGCCACTTTATAAATTCACATATGAATCTAGAGGATGCCCAAATAAATTCTCTAAGATCTGGGAAATTTGGTTGGATTCCAAAGATACTGTGGCTTCCCCTGAAATATCCTAGTAGAAAGTACTATGACACATTCCCTCTGTTATATGATATCCTACTGCACTGTGGGATGATGCTTTTTTGTCAAGCAATTTCTGTCCCATTAGTGATGAATGGAGTGAGTTGACCCTACAGGCAGCAGTTGCATGGTATTGGTGTTGTGTTTTATGTTTTTATGTTTTCACGAAGCCTAGATATGCCCAATAGGCTTTGTTTTATACTATAATTTCAACTCTTTAAAGTCAATAAAAAATTGCCAAAAATTCCTCAAAAATTGTCAACAAATGGGCAGGTGGATAAAACCTGCCTTTTTTTGTTACACAAAGCCACTGTAATTTATTTTGCAGCATTCCAAACTTGGGCACTGTGTGGGCCAGCTGTCACATCCTAACAACCAGTAGCATTATCAGTTGATAAGGAGGATGTTGGATGCCTGCAGAGCATCCTGGGTTGCCCCTCCCTTGCATTTTTCCAGAACTGGGTTCATGCTAGCTGTGTGAAGGAAAAAAACTGACAAAGAGAAACACTGAAATACTAGTCTGTAACACTGTGTAAAGGTGTATTTCCATTGTAAAAATAAATCACCTCTAATGTTGGGTGTCCCATGCGTTTGGATGCTGCCATTTTAGAATGGGGTGCCTGAAGATTGTGCAGGATTTTAAAGGGTGCTTTGACTGAAAAAAAAGTTTGTGAAACATTGCTTTAAAAGGTGTTGTAAGCAAATATAAAATCCCTCTTAATTCAATTGCTAAAGGTTACATTTATGGCTATCTGTTGATTTTCCTTGGTGCCAGTTTTTACTGTCTACACACAGCCCTCCATGGTTATCATTTGCTTGGCTAGCCATAGCAAAAGCCCAGCATAAATACCCCAGTGTCAGCCCAGCCCAACATAAATACCCCAGAGCCTTCCACTAACACCCCCCTCATTGAGAAAGACACTCATCTTCACATCTCTGGACATCCCCAGGAACAAGTGTTGGGCTCTGCATACACCATCAAGCAGCCCGCAACCTCTCTCGGATCCCGCCTGGTCCCCATGCTGCATGTATCCCTTCTTCCATCCCTTCTTCTGGGGGGCGGTGCTGCCCCCTGAAAAATGCCACCCTAGGCACATGCCCTGTTTGCCTTGTGGTAAATACGCCCCTGAGTGGAAGGAATGATGCCCCAATATTGATGTTCAACTGCACTTGCCTCTGTGCAGACTCCATGTCCTACTCTGCTTTTTATTCTAATGTCACAGGTGGGACTTTTCAGGCACTATTGGACAGCAGATCAATATGCCAGAGTTAGATCAGTGCCTAAAGTGGTTGTAAACCCCCATATCCTCCTACATACGGTGTACCTGTTTTTTTTTTCAGCCATTTGCCCTATACATCCTTGTAAAAATCAGAGATGAAAAGGATTTTTCACATACATAGCAGAGACTCACATGCTATAGAAGAGCTCTGAGAGCTAATAGGAGGGAAAGACAATGCCCCTTAACACAGCACTCAGGAACAGAGTTGAGGCTGTCAATCACAAACTGTATGCTGGGGCTCCCTCCCCTGTCACTTTTTTACTTTTAGTGTCAGGTAAACTTGTCAGAAGTGAATCATGCTTAGAACTGAGGAATGAGGCGGCAGACAGAAATGACGCAAAGGGCTTGATTTACTAAAGCCAACTAGACTGTGAAGTTGCTCTAGAGCTTAGTAAATGGGGTAAAGCTTCAAAAGACAAAGAATACCCAATCACTTGCCAGGAAAATAAAAAAAACAACATTTTTGCTTGCACATAATTGGATGATAGAAGTTAACAGAGCTTCTCCTCATTTACTAAATTCTGGAGCACCTTGCAGAGCGCAATTGCATTTGCAAAGTGCACAGCCTATTTGCCTTCAGTAAATTAACCCCTTAGTGCTTTTGAGAGAGGCAAGTAAACACTATAGAAATATGTGCTTTGTTCAGATTTAATTTATGAGGTTTAAAACAGCTTTTTACATTTTACAATTTTCTTGTACAATTTTCCTTTTGATTTTCCAAAACCATATAATATGAGGTCAAACCTAAACACTTTCAATTTGTATGCAGTCAGGCAGGCCCTTGCACTGTGTAGTTGAAGGTAAGTCTAAAGGAAATTGGACAAGAAAACTGTATAATGTATGGCCAGTTTAGGAGTAATTGCCTGGTGCAGGAACTCTGCATTTCAGCACTCACTGCCAATCTACATACAGCAGCTTCCTCCAGCTTGCAATAAAAATAACACTGCATGCAGGGACTAGTTTAGGACAACCAGTGAGCCATAATGTGGAGACAGCAAAGTTAAGTGATACATTGAATATAATTTTAGTTTGATTCATGTAATTTTTTTCTTGTTTTTTCATTACAGAAATTTCCTAATGAAGGACTGGCAAATGTTGTTCGAAATGTGTTTGACTTTGATTCTTACAACCAAGAAATGCGTGAAATATTGATTAACTCCTTACATAAGCATGGAATCCCAATTGGAGCCAAACCAACCAATGTGCAGCTTGCTAAGGAGTAAGAAAGATGTTTTATTAGCATTGATTCCACAGTTCTTAATATATTTATTGATCTAAAATAGGAGGTTTTATATTCCACTGTATTTATTATAGACACCAAGCATAATAAAATTTAATTATTACTGTTTTTTTCTTAATTGTGTGATTTTGTGCTTCTTAATTTCCGAACAGAAATGTATGGAGTTTCTAAAATAAAAAAAAAAATTATAACATCAGGTGTAGGGTATGTATTTAATATACTTGCCATGGACTCACTTTGCTAGTATTTTAGTTGTGATTTTTAGTAAAAGTTTAGTGAATGTGCTAAATTTGAGTCTGGCCATGAGTGATGTTTTTAGGAGGCTGTAGGAAGCACAAATGTGAGAACATTGACTTGTAAGAGAGCTGTAATAGCTGTATCTTATAACATGTCCTTAGTCTGTAACTGTCCCCTGTTACATGTTGCAAGTGTCCAAACACATTTTTATCATGCAAGCAGTTTCTGACCATCTTTTGTAGCAGGTCTGCAGTATTTGTCACCTGTAGCGTATCTGAATTCTAATGACTGTGTTTTGTGGCATTGCATGCGCTAAATATCATGTTTGGCCCCTTGGTGATGTCAAGAGCACACATGAGACCCTCTATGTCTAGTAAGTTGGCTGAACTGGACCCTTAAGACAACTGAGTTTGTCTTCTGCAGCATTAATGCCTTTTGGAACCATGTTTATGACAGGTAAGTCAGCTTTTATGTCTAATTTTAAAATAAGTTAAAAGGCTTTGAATGGGAAAAGCGAACCACTTAACGTCCAAGGACATTTTTAATTTTTTCACACATAAGTTAAAATCTGCATGTTTTTTGCCAGAAAATTACTTGAAACCCCCAAACAATTATATATTTAATGAAAGCAGATGCCCTGAGGAATAAAACAATGGCAGCTGCATTTTTTACAATGGATATTTGTGTGGCTATTTGTCAAATGCATATTTTCAGGAAAAAATATAGTGCAAACACTCCTTTTTGGTAAAATATAAAAGATAGGGTTGCACTGAGTAAATAGATACCAAACATGTGAAGCCTTAATATTGTGTGCTCCCATTATATTGCAAAATAATGGTGGTACCCAAATTTCTCAATAGGTTATCATTTTAGAGTTGAAAGGATATATAATAGAGGGATAAAATATTATTATATCAATAATGATAAAAGGCATACAAGTGAGCACTATGGGTGAGCTGCTGTAACACCGAAAGGCACCAACAACCTTCTGAGACCAACTGATATATTAAGTCATCAAAACAGTTCTCCTCCCTGTCGAAGATCCTAGGTAATCACCGGGCGCCAGCAAGTAATCCCCGACCAGGACACTGTGATTGACAGCCATCAATGGCGGTGCGCCCCCTACCCGGAAATGCGAAACCACATATATATATACGTGATTTTGCGCACCCATGCCGCCCTGTAGCAGTATTTCTGCTATAGGGCAGTCAGGGAGCTGCTAAAGTAATTATGCCAGTCTATACTGTCTTTAAGCAGAATACCGTGTATGAAACATTTGCTGATATATTTTTGTAGTACGTATATAATGATATGCCAGCTTTCTTTTCAGCAAGTCATCTGCCATTCTTGCCAACATGTGGTAGGGCTATTGGCACCTATATGTGTTTTTACATTTTAGGCTGCAAGTTTCAAAGGAATTCCATGCCTAGTAGGGAGGTTAAAAATAAACAGGTTAGCTCAGATTGTATATATAACATTTTTTTTCCATTCCTGGTAAGGTAGCATGCACTTCAGAAAGTCGGGTATCTTCAGTAAGACAATTTGAAACCAATCTCGTAATATGTCAGCTAAATGTGTATTTGAAGAAATGCCATTTTGTTGTTGAGCTGAGTGTATTACTTATAAATGGCCCCATAGCGTTTTTAAATGTTAATTTGGAATGAGCTATTCCCTTGTGTTTCCTGTGCTGTATTCTTCCAGAAAGGTCATCAAGTAATGAATGCAGTCATTTTAAAACTGCATGTCATACCTTTTGATATATAAATTCAGACTTACATTATTTGCAAGAACATATTTATAAATGTGCTGTTTGGATTATAGGAGTGGCAGCGTAAGAAGGCAAAAGGAAACATCAACTACTATTTTTTTTATGCTTGAAAATGGTAAAACTATAACTTCGAATCTCTGTAAATGCATCTTAAAGTGTATCTCTAGGCAAAACTTCTTTTTTTTTTGGATAGCGTAGGGAAGGGTTAGATTCGCTGTCAAGTTTGTATTTTGTCTGTATTCCTACTAGGGAGATGAATTTCTATGTTTGTTCTACAAAGAAAATGAAAGAAATACAAAATTTTAGAGTTGTCTCCAGAACAAGAAGTAAAGGGAAATATTCCAATATGGAAAACTGAGAAGGGGATTTCCCTTGCTTTGGGAGATTTTCTCTAGCTTTCTGTTGTTTCTCTGGGTAGTGAATGTACATTTCTCCACTAGTGCACAAACATTAAAAAGTAGCCTGGCAGGAGTTTTACCCCTTTCCTACCCTATCTACAACTAAAATGTTTTGAGAAAATATACACTTTAAATTATATAGCTGTGAATATGATATATTTATGCTATGATCACAGAGGATTTAATACATATCAGGATCTAAAACCATTCCAATTTGGGGAAGGTTTATTGGTTTGTTTGAAACAATACAGTATATACCTTTTAACACAAAAGTGGCACTGACCTTAAATGTGTTTTGTTTTCTCGGGGTATTATCCTCACACATATTTAATCACTTAACATTCTTCAAGTTTCTGTGGATTGTTGCAGTTGAAAGTCAGAATGTAGGGGGTAGAGAAGGTTGTGATCAGTGAGATAGCAGTTTCTAGGAGTTTGGAGGTAAACAGAAGCAAAAGGGATGGCTCTTAGGGCCTGTCACAGAAACCACTGTGACTTTGCCTCTTGGAGGGGCCTGAGGACCAGCCTCATTCCCACCGACTATGGACCCAGTACTAAGGAGACCCCCCTCTTGGGGTTACAATGCACCTTTTCCCCAAGAGGGTTATGTCACTTCCCTGGGTACCTGGCTGGCCGTGAATTATACCAGCTGCCCTTTCCATGCAATGTGGGCTGGAGGCACTGTTTCTGTTGAATTCCAACATATATGGGGTTAAAAAAAACTTTATTTTCTGTTACAGGTTTCCTGGTATCAACTATTGTTTGCTGTAATTGGGTTTATGTGATAAGCTCTCACCTCCAGAGTCCAGACTGCTAGTTGCCAGGAAGGAATCCATTGTTTTCTTGTATTTGTTTATTTTTGTAATGTAATTTTTTCCTGAGACTTGTAATGTGGGCCATATCTGTCTCGGGAAGATTTTTGTGTATAAATGCTGTGCTGTTTGTTAATAAAATCAGTTTTTGTTTTACTCCAATATTGGTTCTGTCTGATGTTTGGGGTAAATTTGCTATATTCTGGTTCCAGAATGGTGGAAGCTGTAGTCTGGTCGAGATACCCAGTTGGGGAGGCAGGCAATCCATCACAGGTCCATTTCACACTCTGCTTCCTTCACTCCACTCCGTTCAGCAGGGGATCCATGAGCAGACTAGTACTTCATCCATGAGCACTCTATTCAGCAGATCTCCTGCTGAATCAGAGCTGAATGGAACAGATGTCAGTTGTTTTTTACATCCATACCCATTCAGTTTTTGTCTGCATTTACACAGTGGAAAGGTAGCTCTATGGGTGGCCAAACATAGACCTGTGTCTGTTTACTTCAGTCTACCTCAGATCTTTCACATTTAGGTCTGGAAAAATGGAAAAGGACTCATTTGTTTTGCATTTTTTTTCCGAACCTGGACAGACTCAGAGGTAGGCAGTTGTAAGTGGACACAAGTCTGTTTACATTAGCCTGCTGATAGAGCTGTGTGGAGCTTTTAGTCAGGTCTGCCTGAAAAATTGAGAGGTTAAGTATAGACCAGTGCATGTTTTAGGGGGAGGAGGGAAGATTCTGGTAGAGAGGGAGAGATTGAAGATGTGAATAGATGAGTGTATAATATATAAGGGGATGACCAAAGTAGTTGTAAGGAAATGGGTCCAGGAGGAAGTCAATGAGGTGGTCGCCAGAGAAATGTTTAGCAGCCTTCTTTGTAGTGACTGGATGAAAAGGGGAAAGTATTGAATATGCTGGTAAACATGGTTTGTTAATTGGGGTGTGGGGGGGATACTGTAACTGGACATTGGATAGAGCTTCACAAATTTCACCTATCATTTTTTTCTAAATCATTAGCATTGTCCTGGGCAATGCATGAGCTAGTGGGTGGAGGCAGTGGAGGACAAAGTAAAGAGTTAAAAGTTTTCTGACAGAACAGAGGGAAGAATTCTATTGTTGGAGCTTTATACAGTATAACGTTTTGCAGGATACTAGTTTTACACTACACTGGCTCAAGAGTGCTGCTCTGTTATTTTAGACTTGTGGTATCATCTGTTTGCCAGGGTTTTAGCGGTTGGGGTCTAATTTTTTGTGTAGTAAGGGAAGCAATTGCACCAAGGGAGGAAGAGGATGTGCTGTTGTAGACAGATGTTGCCAGGTCAGGACAACATGGGTGAAATTTTGTTGTAGGGTTAGTCAGTAGCAGACTAGAAAAGGGTTGGCAAAAGGTTTCTACAGGTAACTGTTTGCTGGTTGGAAGGATAGAAAATTGAAGACAGGGCGAGTGTGTGAAACTAATTAGTTTGTGATCAAAGAGATGAAAAAGGGGTAATGGAGAGGTGTAGAGTGCAGCGGCTGGATAATTCAATGTCAATGGTGTTACCATCAGAGTGTGTGGAAGTGTGTACCCGTTGTGTTAGGTCAAAAGATGACGTTAGGTTGAAAAAATTAGAAGAAGCCAGAGTGATAGCATTAGAAGGGATGATGAAGCCACAAGAATGACAGTGGGTATATCAGGGAAGAGAAAGTAGGGTAGCCAGGCAGGGAAATTGTCAAGGAAGTGTGATATCTGTCTAGGAAGCTGATAATTCACAGCAACTCTCAGAAAAACTGGAGAAAAGCTATGAGAATCCAGAGAGTTTCAAAAGAGGAGAGGAATGGAGAGAGAGGTGTAAGAAGAACTTAAAAAGTGGGTTCTTAAGGTAGGAAGTATTAGGAATTTAAAGTGCACAGTAAGCAAAAGTCCTTCGTTGTTTTTTTTTTTTTTTTAATGAATATAGAGGTTAGAACCCTTGATGGATTTGTATTGCTATCTTTGTCCCACTGGAGAGAGTCATCCTCTTTTAACTGTCCTGGTGACTACTGTCACTCTGGCAGAAAATTATAGGAACACAGCATTTTACAGCTGTCTCCAGAACAAGAATTTTCCGATGGGAACACCCAGCTGTTCCTGCAACAGCTCAGATGATCTCCCAACACTTTTCCTCTCACTTCCTGTTATGTCTCTGGGACACCTTCCCAATGGAACATAGACATGCAGAATGTAAAATTGCATTTCACTCAATGTGCATTGTGTTGAACTATTTGCAGCTACAGAGTCATGGGGGGGGGGGCACATTAAATAATTATGGTCACACACAGTCAAATTGGTATTTGCCAGATCAACAGTATATATCAATAGCTGTATATTGGGCATCTACCTGAGTGGATGATTTTTAAAATATTGTCTACTTACTTGGTATTTAGACTACATAGCTTTGGTAAGATGATTTGACATATGCAAGCTTGACTGCGTGCAGGTAAGATATACAGTTTATAGACCAGAGATCCATATTATAAGTTTAAAATACTATAACACCTCATAATGGATATTTATTTTACATTCTTAGTTTGAATAATGCTGGACTGGCACTTTAATATGTGCAGCTGTTCTTATAAATCTCCGATATTAGATCATTTTTTAAAGCACACATTCTGTGGAGAAAAGGAAATATTCTGTTTGAGAATGAATCTTATCTGGAAAAAATGTGAGTCGCATCTTCCTGATCTAGTCATGACATACCAGTCCAGGTCTAATATTAGTATGTGATTTTTTTTTTTATGCATTGTAATTGTTCTCTTCTACAGAAACCCCTTTGAGCTCTAGAGGAGCAATCGTATTGTTCATTCTACAAACTAATATAAACCAGTTTCAATCATGTTGTGTCAGGAAGTGAACTTTAATTTAAAAAGACTGAAATGTTCAGCCCTTTCATGCATGAGGCTGTTCTGTACAAGAGAGACAGATGCTATCTGCATAAAAGGATACAAAACTGCAGAAAATGATTTAAACATTATAGTTATTTGTGGTGCAGAAAATATCCAGTAGGTTGACAATTTATTATTGTAAATAAATATATGTTCATATATACTGTATATACACACACACATACTGTATCTTTACAACAGTTGCAGCAAAACAGTAAAAAAAAAAAGACAAACATAATCTGTAAAAAACTATAAATCAAAGATCTAGACAGAGTAAAAATTAATCTTAAAGCACAGCTCCAACCAAAACAGGCTTGCTTCACAGTGACCATTAGTTCCTTAGATAACCTCACAGGAAAGGCAAACTGTACATTGCAGTCTCCTTAGATACCTCTGCAGACAAGACTCAAGGCACAGTGCAGTAACCAGTGTCTCCTTAGATACCTCTGCAGACAATGTTCAGTACACAGTGCAGTAAGCAGTAGCTCCTTAAATACCTCTGCAGACAAGGCTCAGTACACAGTGCAGGGACAATTGTCTGCATAGATACCCTTGCAGATAAGGTTCAGTGCACAGTGCAGTGACCAGTGTCTCCTTAGATACCTACCTCTGCAGACAATGTTCAGTACAGTGCAGTAACCATTAGCTCCTTAGATAACTGTAGACAAGGCTCAGTGCACAGTGCAGTGACCATTGTCTCCTTAGATATATCTGCAGACAAGGCACAGTGCAGTGACCATTGTCTCCTTAGATATATCTGCAGACAAGGCACAGTGCAGTGACCATTGTCTCCTTAGATACAGTACCTCTGCAGACAAGGCACAGTGCAGTGACCATTGTCTCCTTAGATACAGTACCTCTGCAGACAAGGCACAGTGCAGTGACCATTGTCTCCTTAGATACAGTACCTCTGCAGACAAGGCACAGTGCAGTGACCATTGTCTCCTTAGATACCTCTGCAGACAAGGCACAGTGCAGTGACCATTGTCTCCTTAGATACCTCTGCAGACAAGACACAGTGCAGTGACCATTGGCTCCTTGGATATTCTTACAAGCAAGGCTTACTGCACGGTGCAGTAATCAGTGAATGATTTGATCATGATTATCATGGATTAATTGCACAGTGTGGTGACCATTGGCTCATTGGATACCTGTATAGTCAAGGGTCATTGCAAAGCATGTGACCAATGGCTCATTATATACCCTCACGGACAAGACTCACGGCACAGTACTGTAAGGGGACACACAGGTGAAACTCGAAAAATTAGAATATCGTGCAAAAGTTCATTTATTTCAGTAATGCAACTTAAAAGGTGAAACTAATATATGAGATAGACTCATTACATGCAAAGCAAGATAGTTCAAGCCGTGATTTGTCATAATTGTGATGATTATGGCTTACAGCTCACGAAAACCCCAAATCCACAATGTCAGAAAATTTGAATATTACATGCAATCAATAAAACAAGGATTGTACATAGAACAATATCAGACCTCTGAAAAGTATAATCATGCATATGTACTCAGTACTTGGTTTGGGCCCCTTTTGCAGCAATTACTGTCTAATGCAGCATGGCATGGAAGCTATCAGTCTGTGGCACTGCTGAGGTATTATGGAAGACCAGGATGCTTCAATAGTGGCCTTCACCTCTTCTGCATTGTTCGGTCTCATGTCTCTCATCTTTCTCTTGGCAATGCCCCATAGATTCTCTATGGCGTTCAGGTCAGACGAGTTTGCTGGCCAATCAAGCACAGTAATCCTACGGTCATTGAACCAGGTTTTGTTGCTTTTGGCAGTGTGGGCAGGTGCCAAGTCCTGCTGGAAAATGAAGTCAGCATCCCCATAAAGCTTGTCTGCGGAAGGAAGCATGAAGTGCTCCAAAATCTCCTGGTAGACGGCTGCCTTGACCCTGAACTTAATGAAGCACAGTGGACCAACACCAGCAGATGACATGGCTCCCCAAATCAACACAGACTGTGGAAACTTCACACTGGACTTCAAGCATCTTGCAGTGTGTGCCTCTCCATTCTTCCTCCATACTCTGGGTCCTTGGTTTCCAAATGAGATGCAAAAGTTGCCCTCATCAGAAAAGAGGACTTTGGACCACTGAGCAACAGACCAGGTCTGTTTTTCTTTAGCCCAGGTAAGACGCTTCTGACTTTGTTGTTCAGGAGCGGCTTGACATTTGAATATGACATTTGAAGCCCATCTCCAGGATCCGTCTGTGTGTGGTGGCTCTTGATGCACTGACTCCAGCCTCAGTCCACTCCTTGTGAAAGTCCCCAACACTTTTGAATGGCCTTTTCCTGACAATCCTCTCCAGGCTGCAGTCATCCCTGCTACTTGTGCACCTTTTTCTTCCACATTTTTCCCTTCCACATAACTTTCTATTACTGTGCTTTGATACAGCACTTTGGGAACATCCAACTTCTTTTGCAATTACCTTTTGAGGCTTTCCCTCCTTATGGAGGGTGTCAATGATGGTTTTCTGCACAACTGTCAGGTCAGCAGTATTTTCTATGATTGTGATTCCTACTGAACCAGACTGAGAGACCATTTAAAGGCTCAGGAAACCTTTGCAGGTGTTATGGCTTAATTAGCTGATTAGAGTGGGACACCTTGAGCCTAGAATATTACACCTTTTCACAATATTCTAATTTTCTGAGATTGTGGATTTGGGGTTTTCATGAGCTGTAAACCATAATCATCACAATTATGACAAATCACGGCTTGAACTATCTTGCTTTGCATGTAATGAGTCTATCTCATATATTAGTTTCACCTTTTAAGTTGCATTACTGAAATAAATTAACTTTTGCACGATATTCTAATTTTTCGAGTTTCACCTGTATATTAAATGTGTGCAGGCCAAAAATCGGGCAGTTTTTGCATTTTGTGTTTTTCTTTCCAAAGCTGGGTTATTTTTTCGTAAATGTGGTTATATTTCTTAGATGCATGTTTTTTAATGTTTTGCAAGGCAAACAATTAGCCAAATATAGTATTTAAATAAATCTCAGAAAAACTGACTGGCTTTCAGCCTGCTGGTAACTTGTGTTTAGTGTATACAGTAGCATCGTGAAGCCATTAGTTTCCAAAGCTTTCATTGTATGTACTACACTAGTTCACTTTGTGCTGTGCATATGGGGCTTTTTTCAGCAGTGGCATTTGCCCTTTGGCATTACATTAACTGATCTGGAAAACTGGATTTTGAACCCTTGAAGCATGAAAGTGTGGAAAAATATGCATTTTCAAGCCTGGGCTTGAAGACGGGTGTTAGACTAATAAGATCATTTACTCTCCTATTATGTTTCATTTTTTCTACTACCACATAGGAAGCTTTTATTGCATTAATGTGTAATGAACCCATACAGTTTAACATTATGATATTGTGTGTATTCAAACCTAGACAACATAGTGAGGTTACAAGAGAGTGGATGATTAAGATTGTTACTAAGCAGCATAGCTTTTTTTTATATATATAATGAACTCCTATTTAAAGAATGACTTACAATATTTTTATTTTTTGTTTTTTAAAGATATGTTAAAACAATTTTATGACATATTCTTATCCCCCTCCCATCTATATAATATATTAATTTCTGCATCCTATAGGCTGCCGCTTCCTGATGTTAGCTTTGTTGGCCACTGGACAATAACGCAAACTGGAAATGCCCGTCGCAAGCTTTTGTGTCCAACAGAAACACATCAGATCAATATAAAGGTTGTTTATTTTCATTTGTCATGGTTAATAGCTACCACAATAACATTAAAACCTGCAGTTATAGTGCAGCTGTGCAGCAGATGTTGTACCGATCACCTTTCAATGGTCTTTCTTTAGCAAGATCCTAGGTAGTCAAAAGCTACTGCTGAGTTTACATATGGTGAATATACTATGGATGATTGGTGACTGGTGGCCAAAGGCTCTGCTGGATTTGTTTTGGGCCATACTTATTGCTTAGAGAGCACATTCCAATATCCTTCAAGTTTATTACGTAGGAATAATATATGTGTCAAAAATATATTGAAACATGATATATATTTAACTATTTTCTCATACAAAGTCATAAAAGATTTACTGAATATAGAGTAGTGTCTTTTCCTGTATTTTTTCTGAGCTGTTTCTGTAGTTGAGATGGGAATTGTATTATTGCTGTTATTGCATGTTATAGTTTAATGTAATAAATACAGAATTGTCAGTTTTATCTTTGTCCCAAAATAGGGCCCAGTATACATCAGTGTACAGGGATTTGCACTGGAACGTACGGAGTCTCGGTCCCTGAGCTTCACAGAAGAAATGGCTCACTGGCGTATTCCACTCAGTGAAGTGAATATTGTGTGTGATATCATTGTTTCCTCAGGTGTGTTTTTGCAATTCCTTTAAAAATCCTAAATCTACATGACTGACAATGTCTATTTTATATATAAACCTCCAAAAAGCACTGTAATTTATTAATTATTCATTTGGGATAATTGGGTTAATCTGGTCACTGTCAGTAGCACACGATTCTGCTTTTATAAAATCTCAGATTTAATACCTTTTGCAAACAACAGGCACAAACATATGCATGTGCAAAATGTTTTGAAATGTAAGAGGAATAATTTATGCTGATACACCTGGCCCTCAATCCCTTCTAGCCAAATTTCTTTGATGATGTTCTTTAAATATTGTCATGATCTCAAAAATACATAGTGAAGCTTTTAGCAAGGTTTAGTCCCTCTGCTGGTTGTGTTTGAAGTGACCTACTGTATGCATCAGTGCTTTATGTGGGAAGTATGCAGACTCCCAACGCAAGTCACACTATGCAACCAGAGGACGAGGTATACTTTAATTTAAATATACTGCACCTGATCCCAGAAGTCTGTGTGTTACTTATTCCTGACTCCTGAACTCTGTACATTACTTACTTCTGACTCCTGAAGTCTGTGCATTACTTAATCCTGACCCCTTAAATTCTTTGTGTTACTTAAACCTGACCCCGGGACTCTGTGCATTACTTAATCCTGACCCCTTATATTCTTTGTGTTACTTGACCCCGAAAATCTGTGCATTACTTAATCCTGACCCCCTTTGTGAACCTGACCCCGGGACTCTGTGCATTACTTAATCCTGACCCCTTAAATTCTTTGTGTTACTTAAACCTGACCCCGGGACTCTGTGCATTACTTTGAGAACATTATGCATTACTTAATCCCGACCTTTGCACTCTGTACATTAATTAATCTTAACCCCTGTATTCTCTGCATTAAATGATCCTGACCACTGCATTTGTACTTAACTTAATCCTTCCTCTAAACTCTTTGTGTTACTTAATCCTATCTCCTAAACTGTTTATTAGTGTTGGATTTATAAGGGGGCAAAAGGGGCAACACCCCTGGGCCCCCTGACTTAAGAGGCCTCCCTCTTAACAAATTACATAACATAACAAAAATAAATATAAATAAAATATATAATACTAAAAAATCACTGGCGTTTGTTAAATGTAGCTTGGGAAGTAATATTTTGCCGGCCATCATCTGTAACAGTTTTTACTCTGGATTGATATATTGTATATTTTTAAAAACTAATTTTGGTAGCTTAAGCGAACCACACATAGAGCACTTACACTCTTAAGGAAGGTTGCTTATGACTGCACGCATGACCTCAGAATGGCTTTGTGTCCTTAATTTTAAAAATGTGTGACTGTCATTGAGAATATAAACCAACTCTGTATGAGGGGCCTCCCAAACCTGAAGTGCCCCAGGCCCTCAAAGTCTACATATGGCCCTTGCACTCTGGCTGTTAACTTACCCCTGACATCTGAACTTCCTGCATTATTTAATCCTGACCCCTAAACTCTGTATTACGTAATCCTTTCCAGTGAACTCTATGCATTACTTACTGATTCATTAACACTGTGCGTTACTTATTCCTGACCTCTGCACTCTCTGCATTACTTACTCACGACTGCTGAACTCTGTATGTTACTTAATCCTGACTGCTGCACTCTGCACATTACCTAATCTTGACCCCTGTTACTTACTCATGACTGCTATACTCTGTGCATTACTGAATACTGATCCCTACAATCTGTTTTGCACTCTTGACCCATATCAGGGGTCATTTAACCATACCCCTTTAAGCCCTGATACTGTTAATGCAATTAAGCCTCACACATAATTCACCATCATTCTTCTTTGTATGGTGTGCAAGGTATTTTGTCTTTATACCTTTAATGTCTGCCTCTTGTTTCACAAGTGTGTGGCCAATTATTTCCAGGAGTGGAAAAAATGGGGGCATGATTTTCTTATTGTGGGTGTGATTTTATGGGCACGGTCAGTTGGTCATTTTTAAAATATGGTAACTTTAGGTTATCTGGACTTTCAGGAGAAAACATTTGCAGCATAGTTATATAGTCAGGTTGAAAAAAGACACATCTACAAAAATTTCATCTAGTTCAACCACAGTTGACCTAGGTAATCCAGAGGAAGGTGATAAAACCCTTGAAAATGCATCACCCAATTTGCTTTAGCAGAGGAAAAATAAATCTCTTCTACCAGAAGGCAGTTATACATTCCTTGGATCAACAATTCCTGGTGCGTTTGCCTATTAGTGTTAATATCCAGTTATTTTTTTGTTCATTTAGGAATGCATCCAGCTATTTTTTTAAAACCATGTACTGAGCTGGCCAAAACCAGTTCTTAAGGAAGCCTATTCCACATTTTCAGAGCTCCTACTAGCCTTTCCACACTGCATGTGGATGTTAAATCTCTTTTCCTCCGAGCGTAAAGCGTGCCCCTTTTTCCTTTGTGATCATTTTAAAGTGACTAACTCTGCATCAAGTTCACTATATGGACCACCTACAGTTGCGTTCAAAATAATAGCAGTGTGTTGAAAAAGTGAATAAAGCTTAAAATCCTTCTAATAGCTTTTATTTCCATACACACAAATGCATTGGGAAACAATACACATTGTATTCCAAATCAAAACATGAAGAAAAATATATCAAAATTTGTGTTGTTCCTCTAAAAAAAAATTGAAGAAAAGTGAATATTAGACTGTTCAAAATAATAGCAGTGTTTGTATTCGTCTTTACAAACTCAAACATTCACTATATAAACTGAAAAATGTTTGAAGATTTTGCTTTCCTTTGAATCACTTAATGAATATTTAGTTGTATAAGCACTGTTTCTGAGAACTGCTGTACATCTGTGTTGCATGGAGTCAACCAACTTCTGTCACCTGTGAACAGGTATTCCAGCCCAGGATGATTGGACTACATTCCACAGTTCTCTATTTCTTGGTTTTGCCTCAGAAACTGCATTTTTGATGTCACCCCACAAGTTTTCTATTGGATTAAGATCCGGGGATTGGGCTGGCCACTCCATAATGTCAATCTTGTTGGTCTGGAAGCAAGATGTTGCACGTTTACTGGTGTGTTTGGGGTCGTTGTCTTGTTGGAACACCCATTTCAAGGGCATTTCCTCTTCAGCATAAGGCAGCATGACCTCTTCAAGTATTCTGATGTATTCAAACTGATCCATGATCCCTGGTGTGCGATAAATAGGCCCAACACCGTAGTATGAGAAACATCCCCATATTGTGATGCTTGCGCAACCATGCTTCACTGTCTTCACAGTGTACTGTGGTTTGAATTCAGTGTTTGGGGGTCGTCTAACAAACTGTCTCTGGCCACTAGACCCAAAAAGAACAATCCACAAAATGTTGCGCCATTTCTCTTTAGGCCAGTCAATGTGCTCTTTGGCAAATTCTAACCTCTTCAGCACATGTGTTTTTTTCAACAGTGGGACTTTGCGGGGGCTTCTTGCAGATAGCTTGGCTTCACATAGGCATCTTCTAATTGTAACAGTACTCACAGGTAACTTTAGACCTTCTTTGATCTTCCTGGAACTGATTGTTGGCTGAGTCCTTGCCATTTTGGCTATTCTTCTATCCATTTTAATGGTAGTTTTTTGCTTTCTTCCACGTCTTTCAGGTTTTGGTTCCTATTTTAAAGCATTTGCGATCATTTTAGCTGAGCAGCCTATCATTTTCTGCACTTCTTTATATGTTTTCCCCTCTCCAATCAACTTTTTAATCAAGGTACGCTGTTCTTCTGAACAATGTCTGGAACGACCCATTTTCCTCAGAATTTCAGAGAGAAATGCACTGTAACCAGCATGTACAACATTTGCTGCCTTCCTTCCTTAAATAAGGGCAATAATTGCCACCTGTTTTTCAAAGAATGAATGACCTCACTAATAGAACTCTACACTGGTATTATTTTGAACATGCCCCTTTCAATTAGTGATTCAATTACACAGAATCAGCAGCATGCATGTCATGACTGTTGGGTCTGTTGGATTTCTATTACTCTACTACACCTGCTAGTAAATTATTTGCCATGTGGAAATATCATTTCTACGAAAAACAGTGATTGATCAGGTTAGTGATGTCTGACTGCTATTATTTTGAACACAACTGTATGTATTTACACATGGTGATCATATCCCCCCATAATTGCCTTTTCTCAAGAGAGAATACATTCAGTTCAGCTAATCTTTCCTCATAGCTGAGCTCCTCCATGCCTCCTATCAGTTAGGTTGCCCTTCTCTGCACTTTTTCCAGTTCCTCAATTTTTTGTAAACTGGTGCCCAAAACAAAATTAAGGATTTGTACAGGGGCAATATTATGTCTCTCTCTCTCTCTCTCTCTCTCTCTCTCTCTCTGCAATACACACCTCTTTTAAGAAAGGATTTTGCTTGCTTTGGAAACCGTAGCTTGGCATTGCATGCTATTATCAAGTCTATGATCTACCAGAACACCCAGATCTTTCTCCACCATTGATTCCCCCAGTTGTTCTTCACCTAGAATATATGATACATTATTGCTTTTAGCCCCTAAGTACATAACTTTACATTTATCAACATTTAATCTCATTTGCTACATAGTTTCCCAATTAAACAGTACATTAAGCTCTGCTTGTAAGTTGGTGACATCCTGTAAGGACGTTATTCTACTACATAGCTTAGTGTCATCTGCAAACAGTGAAATGGTACTTTTAATCCCAAACTCTGTCATTTTTAAATGGGTTAAAAAGTAAGGATCCCAACACTGAACTTTGGGGTACACAGCTAATAAACTTAGACCATTCAGAATATGAATCATTAATCACTACAACATGAATACGGTCTTATAGCCAGTTTTTTATCCATTCACAAACTGAATTTTCAAAGCCTATAGACTTTAAATGACACATTATCCATATGTGGGGAACTGTGTCAAACGCTTTTGCAAAATCCAAGTATATTATATCCACATCTACTCCCTTTGCAATATTTTTTGTAGCACAGTACAGATCATACTTGATTTGCTGCTTCCCTGGCTTTAGCATCCAGGGAATGACAGCTCTGAATATGGAAACACTCAGAGCTGAGCACTTCTGGCATCATTTACTCGCAGAGTAGATTGAGGGACGTCTCCCGATTGCTATCCTGAGACAGTTTGTTTTGATCTTGGCCTCCCAGGAGGAGGGGATATCTGGTGGGGAGTCCCCACACCACCCGCACTGTAAAAGTGATCGAGTGGCTATAGAGCTACTCGGATCACTTTTACATGACAGCCGGGGGCAGACTGATTGATACGGTTTCAAGCTTATGGCTGCTACTGCAGTCATGAGCTTGTTTTAAAGGTTTCACTTACTTCTCTGGCATGCTAAGTAAAAAAGAAAAAAAAGTAGTTTAAAGCAGAGAATGGATGGAAATAAAGAAATCAGTGCCTCTCCAAGATCTGTGTATATGTTTTCAGTTCTCAGTAACCAAGGTTCCGACTTCAAAAGAGCTTGTCCCTGGTCCACTCAGCACAGAAAACACGCACTTCAAAAGGCAACGCGAGTGTACACAAGGTCTTAATCTACTCCCTGCTTTAATTTTTTAAACTGAACCTAGACTAGTTACTACAAATGTGTTTATTTTGCCTGCTTTTAGTCCAGCTCTTTTAAACTGTTATTTTTCTAAGTTTGAAACTTTTGCACATTATTGAATTAAAGGTTCATGTTAATGTACATATTACACATCTCTTTTAGATACTAGTGGTGATAGCACTGTCCATGTGGCTACATGTAATCCAGTGACCTTGTATTTTATGAAAACTCAGGAGGATAAAGGATACTATGTGGAGTTGTATGACATATTTCCTAGAACTGTGGGAAGTGTGTGGCAGCCTTCTGTAACTGTGGCACCTCTAGGCCATCCTCTAAGTGGACAGGTTATTCTACATGAAGAGCAGGTAGGTTTATTTCATTTTCATCTGCTGCGTACAGAAATACAGTGGGATAAAATGTCAGCTATTCATTGATCATTATGCTGAGCTAGTATGCGGAAATGCATCAATGTTTCTGAGTATCAAGTTGGACCTGTTAAGTTCGCACTTGTGAAGCTTCTGGTGTTACCTCATTGCATGACAATGGACCTACTCTTTGTGTAGTGCATTGCAGTGCCATTAATTGTAAATGGGACCTAATGCTGTATACCAGGGGTCTCTAAAATTTACAAAGGGCCAGTTTACTATCCTTCAGAACTTTGGAGGGGCTGGACTGTGGCCAGTGTGGTCAGTAACAGTGCCACATTTTTGGTGTCAGAGAGAGGAATAGTACCCCAATATTGGTGTCAGTGGAATGGTGTCCCAACATTAGTGTCAGTAGGAGAAATAGTGCCCCATTGTTTGTGTCAATGGGAGGAATAGTTCCCCAATGCCCGGATAAAGTCAAGCAAAGGGCCACATCTGGCCCCCGGGCCACAGTTTGGAGACCATTGCTCTATACATTGGAGGGACATGTACAAGGCACTGCAGCACACCAAAATGCATCTACTGTGTGTTGTCATGTGCTGTTTGGTTAACAGCAATGGATGAAAGATTTCTTTCATACATTGCAGTACATTGGCTGTCTGTTCTTAATGAATAGGCTGCCTTAACATAACGTGCATTAACACATGTGCGTTAATACACTCCAATGGACTGCTAAAGTGCAAATCCAGCTGTAGAGAGTTTGATTAAGCAATCACGCTGTGTTAATTTTTAGGAATTGTTCCAAGCAATTAATTAAGCAAATTGCTGTAAGTAAATATTAGATTTTTCCAATATCATTAGGAAATAAGGATTGCAGAATAGTTGGAGTGGAACTAGCAGGTGGTTCAAACTTAACATACAAATTACACTGAAACATGGTAATAGCAAAAGTACTGTAATAGCATCAAGCTGCCAAAGCGACCTGTGGGGAATATATTCTGCTTCTGTTGATAATCAGAGGAGAAGGCTCCAAAAGCTGATACTGCAGAAGTAGGGCTTTTTTTTTCAGTTAAAGTATTATAGGTGAAGTTGAACAAAGCAAAGAAGTGAATTAGGGGAATAGTCTGGGAAAGTAGAGCGAGGCTAGGTAGGAAGAAAAGAAAGGAGGAGGAATCAGAAGAAAAGTGAAATTCCACTCCAGGTTTCAGCCTCCCAAGTTAGCTCCGTAGAGCTCTTCTTTGAAACAAGTGCAAAGGGTTATGTAATAAAAGGATAGAGAAGTATTCAGCCTTTTGTGCTGGATGATTGAAACGCTGCCACATAATCAGAGAAAACGTTTTATTGTGTCCAAAAGAACCAGATTTTTGTTAAAATTTGAATTTAATCTCTTAAGGTGTAAAATCCTCCGTAAGAATGATGGCATTCAGTTTGGAGTACCATTGGCTCAATGTGGACAGGTTGTTTTTTTTCCAATTGCATGGGATACATGCCTTAGCTGCATTTAGGGCCAGTTCACACCAGAATGTTTTGTGGGAAACCCATGTTCCATGCGCCTTTCCCGCACTGCGATCAAAGCAATCAGTTGCTCGCTGCAGCAGAAGTCATATTAAGTTAATAACACCCGAACACATGTTACAAATGCAGTGCGTTTGCCTGCACTGGATCACATGGTACAGATTTACAATGTAATCCAGTTGCAGTGAGTTTCCAAAAGTAGTGCAGGCACCACGTTTGGCACGGTGCAGTGTGATCTCAGCCCATTCAAAACAAATGGGCTGAAATTTCACCGCTCAGAATTACATGTGAATTGCACAAGAACGCACAGTGTGTTCCTGTGCAATTCCAGGTGTGAACCGGCCCTCAGGAGATGGGTTGATAATGATTTTTTTTTTGTATGCAAATATAGCTGCCCTCACATGTATGTTATGTATTAATAGCTATAAGCAGAAATGTATTTAACATTATATCATACATAATCTCAAAATCTTTTATTTTCTATTTACTTGCAAACTCTTAGGCGATAGAAGTATGAATTTGCTGAGATGCTTGAGAATTGTTTGTATGCACAAGTAGGGTTAGAGTAAGCACAGTAACCATATAGTCAAATGCAAATGCTAGTCTGCTGCTTACCTTTAAGAATTCTGGAAGAAGGGAGATAACGATGTGTAAACGTTATTTCTGACAAGTCATTTCTGGCATGTTTGGAAATGGAGTCATCTCTCCTCAGCCAGAAAACAGGGTATTTCAGCTTTATAATCTGTGTATGCAGAGGATTGCAGGGATGTAAAGAACTCTGAAAATGAAGGTTTGTTTCCAGAAAATTTGCTAGCAACTTCAGTACCCCCTCAGCAATAGCCACTCTTCAACTCCCAAACCACATGCTAGCTTTGTAACAACCTTGCCTTAAGGAGTGAAGACCCTTGCCCTAGAACGTATTTTAATTTCAGGGGAGAGAGGCAGCTCTGCAAGAGGAATAAACTGCTTCTTGGACTAGAATGGGCTGTCACGACATGTTTTCTCATGATTGGGCATAAGAATCTGAATATCTACAGAGCAGTCATTTAACGTGTCCAGCACACCATTACTAAGCTACATCTGGTCTACTTTCCAAAAGGGGGTCATTTGGGATTTTTCGCAACATCCTGACATTTTTTATTTTATGTGTTTTATAATAAATAGTTGGGGTTTTTTTTTTCTAAATTTAGTAAAAATTAAAATGGTGATTAAATATCTTGAAAAGAAAGCTCTATCTGTGTCAAAAAATGTATAAAAAATGTATTTAGGTACAGTGTTGCATGACGGACTATCCTTATAATTAAGGGGGTGAAACATGCTGATACTGAGATGGTTAACCTGAATAGTAAACACTCCCATTAAGATCTGTGTTTAATATTTCCAAACAGAAGCTGAAGTGTGCTCTAAAGGCTTAAGAAAGTTGAATGAAGCCTGATGAAAAGTTTGGAAAAATGTTTTGAAAGATCAGTAGAGGCTCTTTCACACATGTTCAGATTGCTCTTCAGAGAGCACTTGACAAAGGATGAGGAGGCATTGTATCCCCTCTTCACCGCCTATTTTAACTCTTTGAACTCAGCACTAGCGCACCGCCACCCTGTGCACTGCACACAGTTGCAGGGCGGTTGCAGAGTGTCCCCATGCACTTGAATGAATTTGGCAACAGTAGCACAAGTCAAAAGCAACAGGTGTCAAAGCGATGCAACTGTGGCTTGTGTACACCCCCAGCTGCTGCCTCTGCAGCAAAAAGGGGGTAGCAGTTGGGGGCGGTAAAAGCACAGCTCAAATGCACAGTTTTACCTCCTCCCTTCCGCTAGTGTGAAGGAAACATAATAGCTTACTGTGCACGCCTGTCATATACAAGCTGAAGCCCGTGTAAACTAAACCTACTGTTCAGCTACAGAGCTCTATAGTATTGTCAGACTAGTCAGTCTCATAAAGCTAAATAAGGGGCAATAACAATCATCCATAATCAAGCTTTCCCAATTTACAAAAAAAAAAAGGAAGGAAAGTTAAGATTATTGCATAATCCCAGTTCACTACATTGAAATCAGGCATAATTTGGCATGTTTATATGCTTGAATTTGTTCTATACTGTAGTTATTACAAAATTGCTTAACCATCTGAATTTTTTTTTTTTTGCTTGCTCTATAATGTGGCCTTTACCATTGGAATTAAATATGTGGAATTGAAAACATGGGAATTGCATACATCATTTTAATAGCAGCTTTTACCATGATATTTCCAGTAACATCTGAATATCATTTGACGTGGAAGTGTTTTTAAGTTGGCAGTAGGTTACTATGCCCCCAGCAAACATTGGGGGCTATTTACTAAAACTGCATGGTGCAAAATCTGGTGCAGCTCTGCATAGAAAACCAATCAGCTTCCAAGTTTTATTGTCAAAGCTTAATTGAACAAGATGAAGTTAGAAGCAGATTGGCTATCATGCACAGCTACACCAGTTTTAGTAAATATCCCTCAGTGTGTGCTGATACCCTAAAGTTATGCTTTTAATGGACTAGAATGGGTTGCCTGTGTTTCATCTGGCTGCGATCTCTAATTATAACTACTCAGTCTTTACACTGTCAAATATCAAAATTATACTCTCCAGCATTATAAAGTTCAAGTTTACATCTGGGAGTGTAAGTAAGGGAGCTGCCTCTATTGGTTTGGTTTAAAAGGTTCTAATTCTGAGGTTCTGCCTTTCAGTGGCTTAGAACAAGCATACTGTATAGTCAGTAAAGTCTAATGTGTGTGCCTTGCATACTTATTTTAGGTTAGTCACTTAGTAAAGCCAAGATCAGGATGATAACCCTGAGTTAAAAACAAGCAATCAATAGCTCCTATATGTCTGTCTTTGCAGGCTCTCTTTAATTGGAAACCTTTGCAAAGATAGTATAGAGACTGCCATTGTTTACTTACCCTTCTGAAATACTACGGGCATGGTTGACATGCTGATCCATTGGCTTACATGCTTCCTGAGTCACTTACTTGAAATCAATATACAGAATTTGAGTTTCTAAGTTATTGTCTCTTAAATTGTAAGCTCCAAGGAGCAGGGCCCTCCTAACCCTCTTGTATTGAACTGTATTGTTGCTGTATTGTCTCCCGTTATATTGTAAAGCGCTGAGCAAACTGTTGGCGCTATATAAATCCTGTATAATAATAATAATTGTCAAACAGTGTTGAAGCCAAAGATGGCCAAATAGCTAGCTTTGTAGGAAGGGGTTAAGCATTGATAGCCCCTGTATTGCTATCAGTGCAGTTTTCCTTTAAAGCCTATCTCCATCTGTTGGTCAGTCTCCACAGTGCTCTCATGTTGACCTTACTGCTGAGACTCGTTTTCTGCATCATTGCAGGATCCAACCACTGGACAGCTGATAGGAAGTCACTGCCTCTGTGATGTGGACACACTGGATAAAATAGTACTAAAGTATGCAGTTTATTCAAAAGTATCTATACTAAGCACTACACCCCTTCAGATAACATCACCAGATCCTGACCACATTTCCCCACTGTAGTCAAGTCAATAAGCGTAGTCAAGCCTGTGATTGAATAGTGAAGGAGCAGTGCCTCACTGTTGAGGTCGTCTCTGTGCTCCTTCTCTCAGTTAGCAGCTCCATTTGCTAGAGTCACAATACTGGATTAAATAAAGGGTTATATCTGCCTACATTTATGGTCTGAGGAAAGTACATGTATCTGTTAACAGAGAGTAGTATACTGTAGCCTGTAGTGAAGTCTTTCTTACAGTTCTCTACCAGTAGCAAGTAACTGTGTGGTGTAGTAAAAAGAGAGAACTAATTTGATTTTTTCTTTACCCCTTTTCTGTGAATTATTTATATTTTAGAGCAATGTCATTCTTCTGTTGGACACTAGCACGGGGGCACTTCATCGAGTCTTACTTTCAGAAGAGGACACAAAACCTACAAGAAAATCATCCTGGTGGGGTAGTAAGGAAGCACAGGTAGCCTTTTCTGTCTTTGTTTTTGCATCTGCAATATTATACCAATAGTAAACCTGCAAGAGTAAACCAGGTAGATTTTGGAATAACCCTGTTGTCTCTTTGCTACATTTCACAACTTACCAGTACCAAGAAGTTCCTCATGGCCACCAATCATTTAACCCTGCCATAGAAATTTCAGCATGATTAGGGATGCAGGAAGCATAGAGAGTGGAAGTTAAAGGGTACATTATGCAAAGCCATACATTTTTTCAGATTTGGATCAAATAGGGGATGGTTGAGCCCCCTATCCTTTTTTTTTTTAATTATTATTTCTTTCTGTCTGTCTTCCACCCAGAATATTTTAATTCACTGTTCCAGAGACATGACAGGAAGTAAGAGAAAATCACTCCAAGGCTTTCTTGTGACTCAGTCATGAGACAGTCATGAGACAGTCATGAGTAAGCACTGAGATGGCTGACTTCTCCTTCAGCCCATACAGTGTCTTGCTTTTACTATTGAAGATAGTCCTTATAACAATATATGAAATAATGAAAAAACTAGGAGTGGCGTTTTCTAGGTGCATATATTACACGCCAACAAAAAAATGAGTTAAAATATTCAGCAGCATCTTTACTATTTACTGCAAGAAGACTTTCTAGTTTCTTTGCCCATCTTTCCAGCACATCAGAATTTTTGCACTGTGCTGTGGAGTCCCCTGCACTACAAATTTTTGGCCTTTCATCTGCACATGGAGTATTCCCCATGGCGCTTGTACCAGAGTTAGCCCTGCTGTGCTTTCATGGCATCCCTATTGTGGGATACTTAGATGGCCTCCTATTAAGGGAACAGTTGGCAAAGGTTCTATTGGGCAACCTGGCTTTTTTTGTTTTGTCATTACAGCAGAGTAGATGAATTCTAAACTGTCAAAAATCGCTGGAACCCACTCATCATTTGGAGTATCTTGGTCTAGTCACAGTACATACCAGAGTGTTTTTTCCCACAGGAGAAACTTCAGATTTGAACTCTCCAGTCCAGGATTCGCCTGACTCCCTGCTTTTGCATGAGAGTCTTGCGTCTGTTGCTAGCCTCCTTCAAGGCAGTCCCGTTAGCCCAGTTTCATTTCAGGCCTCTACAATGCAACATTCTGTCATCACAGGAAAAGTCATTCCAGTCCCTGGACAACCCAATTTGTTTGGCACGTAGGACCAGGTTGTCCCTTACTTTGTGGCTCAGGTATCTGGTTCTGGATTCTTTCTCTTCCCTACAAAGGATGCCAGGTTATTGGGCTGGGGACTTTGTTGGTGCACAGGGTTTGCATGGAATTGGTCCTGGTTTCGAAGTTCAAGAACAACAGGTTTTTTGCAGGTGCAGTGATCGTCTAGTAAATTCAGAAATATACAGTTTTAAACATAATACATCAGTGATGGACAAAATATAAAAAATGCACAGTGCCAAACTCAAATATACAATTTTAAAAAAGAGCCTTGTGCTTCACAAATTAATCACTCTCCCTATTTGTCCAATTTCAATGTAAGTTTTTTGTGCTCTGTGCTGCACAAAAACCACAGTTCACTGCAATTGTGCTTAGCAAACTTCTGTGATCCTCTTCATCTAGTGACATTCAGTCACCAATTTGTGAATCCACCTCCACCCAATGATATATTTGAGAGAGAGTAAAAAAGTACATGGTACAACAGGCACATGTCAGAAATATGAAATGTTGGGTTTACATATTCTTTGATTCTTCTTTGTGTTAATGGGCATGTGTATATGCAAGTGGATCACTGAAATCTACTGCACGTCTGCCCTAATAAATGCTGACAGACTATAAATTGATCTAATGATCTGTGAAAGTAAATTGATCATGCTTTTAGAAGAATAATCTTCGCTTTTGATTATTTGTAGCACTATGCCCACACGGAAGAAAAAATATATTTTAAAAATATTCTTCCCAAATATATTGCTATATATTTGAAATGCTACAATTTTGGCCATATTCAAAATATTTCAAACTACATTTCTATACCCGGAGCTCCGCCGCAGTGCCCAACACTGTTAGGGCCTGCCGCGGCCTACAGCGATTAAGCCCGGGCCCCGGATCCATACGGCCATACAGCCGCCTGCCAGTCTACTGCCACCCGTATAGCAGCAACCGCACCTGTACCTGGAGGAGGGGAGCTGCGTTACCTAGTCCCCCCTCCGAGACAACTTTAGCAATCGGCCTGGCAGGGCCTGCTGTGGCCTACCACAGCACATTCCCCCTGAAGCCCAAGCAACACTGAGCCTGCAACGTACCACAGCACACTCCACCTGAAGTCTAAGTAGCTACGAGCCTTCAGCCTGCAGCCTAAAAGAACCATTGCAGCCCACCACAGCACACTCCCCCGTCTCCTGACCGACCAGCAGTGAGCCTGCAGCCTAACGGAACCTCATGCACACATCACTACCCACACCTGAAGGAGGGAACTGGAGCGGGCCTACTTCCACCCGAACCCAGTAGATGATCCCGACTTGGTGAGGCCTACCACAGCCTACCACAACGCAGCCTGACCTGGACCTGAGACCCATCTGCCTACCCCCCATGAGTACAGCTGACATCCTCCCTCACCGCCCCGAGTCAATTTTCACCTTGCAACCTAGAACTTACACAAATTGGAACTTGTAGCCTGATTCCAACTATGCTACTACTCCTCTACACCTGCACCATAGATCCCTGGGACCTGTACCACCCTTGGCCACAAGACACGTAACTGACCTCCACTGAACTCCAGCTACAAGAAGACACAACTACGAAAGACTCCAATGCACACTGGGCCATCTGCAATCAAGCACCCGTGAAACTCTTCTCCACACCTGGCTCCCACTCCGTATACCTCTGGAAATGCCTCCCCTACTCCTCCTCCTCATATTCCTCTCCTGCATCCCCAAAATCTCTTTTCTCCGTCCCTCTGCTCCAACCAAGTAACTGTACATCTCAACTTCACTGCTTTCATCTCCTTACCACTGCTCTCATCACCTCCTCCTGATACTCCACTCCCCCTGCTGACCCGAACACCAGAACTGGAAGACCTACGCGCTCATATACATCCCACTCCCATGCCACCTTTCTCACCCTTCTTCTTCTCCTAACCTCTGGGGATATCTCCCCGAACCCTTGTCCCCCAGTACCTTGCCCACACACAAGACATCCTCTCTCTTCCGTGAACTGCCGTAACCCCCTCAATTTTATATCTGTCCCCCTGCTCCCCAAAACCACCCTCCCATTCTCATGCGCACTCTGGAACACCCACTCGGTCTGCAACAAGCTCACCTCCATCCATGACCTCTTTGTCTCCCGCTCCCTTAACCTCCTAGCGATCACTGAAACCTGGGTCCAAGCAACAGACTCTGCCTCCCCCGCAGCACTCTCCTATGGAGGTCTCATCTGGACCCACTCACCCAGACCCAGTGGTCGGAAAGGTGGTGGGGTTGGTTTGCTCCTGTCACCACTGAGCACCTTCCAGGTCCTCCCTAACCCTCCCTCTCTAGCCTTCTCTTCCTTCGAGACCCACTGCATCTGGCTATTCTCACCAATCTCTCTGAGGATTGCAGTGATCTATCGGCCTCTTGGACCCGTGTCCCGCTTTCTGACGATTTCGCCGCCTGGCTACCCTTCTTTCTCTCCTCTGAGCTACCCACTATCATTCTTGGAGACTTCAACATTCCTATCAACATCAATAACCCGGCTACATCCAAACTCTTTCACATAACCTCTTTTGCATTAGCACAGTGCATACAGTCCTCCACTCACTCTGACGGGAACACTCTTGACCTTGTCTTCTCTCACCTTTGCACTTCCTGCAACCTCACAAATGCCCCCTTTCCTCTCTCCGACCACAACCTCATCACCTTCTCCTTCTCCTCGTCCTCAAACACATATCCCTCCAAACGGCAAACAGTTACCAGCAGAAACCTCCAGAACTGGAACCCTGCTCCCTTCCACTCTGCAACTGACCAACTTTACAACAGCATCCAACCCCTGTCATGCCCTGACCTGGCCACTACTGTCTACAACAACTCGCTCTCAGCCGCCCTAGACTCGCTCGCACCCCCAACAACACGAAGCATTAGGCCCCGACCACTACAACCCTGGCAGACCGACCATACCAGAAACCTCAAACGACATAGTCGTGCGCTAGAGCAACTATGGCGTAAAACCAAATCCCAACAAGCGTTCACCCACTATAAATCTGCCGTCCTAACGTACACTTCCTCCCTTCACGTTGCCAAACAAGCCTACTTTATTACCCTCATTAATACCTTCTCCTCCAGTCCTCGCCAGCTCTTCTCCACTTTTAACTCTCTCTACTTTCTCTGCCTCCACCCAGTACCTCACTTACTGCTCACGAGATTGCTAACCACTTCATAAACAAAATTGACGCAATTCGTAGAGACTTCGCCACTGCTCAGACACCCACCCCACCTAGCACTCCTCACACAATAACCCCCTCAGCACTTTGCTCCCTTGACCCCACTACTACCAAAGAGGTCACTAAGATTTTCTCCCTGAAGCCCACCTCACCAACTGCCCCCTGGACCCTGTCCCCTCACAACTCCTGCGGCCCCCCTCCTCTTCCATCCTATGCTCCCTCACAAACATCTTCAACCTTTCCCTTTCCACTGGTACCTTCCCCTCCCCTCTAAAGCACGCACACATCACTCCGATACTTAAAAAACCCTCCCTGGGCCCCACCGACCTGAACAACCTAAGACCCATCTCCCTACTGCCATTTACCTTTAAACTCCTAGAACGCTTAGTCTACAATTGCCTGAGCTCCCATCTCACCGACAACAACCTTCTCGACCCTTTACAGTCCGGCTTCCGCCCCCTACACTCCACTGAAACTGCCCTACTCAAACTCACCAACGACCTACTAACCGCCAAAACCAATGGCCACTATACCATACTCCTACTACTCAAAACACTAAAACACTAACTGACGTATGAAGCCGTTCATAACACTGCCCCTAATTACATCACCGACCTTGTCTCTAAATACCACCCAAACCGTACTCTCCGCTCCTCGCAAGACCTACTCTCTAGCTCCTTTGTCTCCTCCTCCCATGCTTGTCTCCAGGACTTTTCAAGGGCTTCACCCATCCTCTGGAACTCCCTACCCCAATCTATCAGGCTGTCGCCTACTCTCCTCACTTTCAGGCGCACTCTGAAAACCCATCTCTTCAGGGAAGCCTACCCCGACCCCAGCTAATATTGCAATCCTCTACTCTTCCTACCACTCCTTCCCCCACAGCTAATTACCTCTTGTACCACTATCCCCTCCCTCCTAGATTGTAAGCTCCAAGGAGCAGGGCCCTCTAATCCCTCTTGAACTGTATTGTTACTGTAATGTCTCCCTCCATTATGTAAAGCGCTGAGCAAACTGTCGGCGCTATTTAAGTCCTGTATAATAATATATATTGTGGGGGTAGCTCAGGTGGGGGATCTCCTTCCCTGGGAAAAAGGTAGATTGCACAGCAGGCTTTCTTAAAAATCTGACTGTTTGTCAGTTTTATTTAAAAGGTTTGCAAAATATCAAAACAACAAAACATCAATATAAACCCTTGCTATCCAGGCACTAACTGAACATAGAACTGTACCTCTCTCACTGGTGAAGGGCTTCCCTGTCACCAACCAAAACAAAACCATAAGCAAACCTTTTCTCTTGTTTGTATAACAATCACTTTCATGCACAGCTCTCTCAGGATTGGTTCTCTGAGGGCCAGGAGCGACTCCTTGCTCCAGCCCTGCCTTATTTATACCATCTGGTGGTGGTCCTCAGTGGAGCATAAAATCCGGTCCGGAACCAACTCTGCCCATGTGGCCCGGAAAACCCAGAATGGACTCCACCTTAAATTTCAAAGTATGATCGCCTGCGAGGTGACACATAGCGTCCATCGATCACCTCACATACTGTCACAATATATATATATATTGAAATATCTTTTAAAATATATTGAATATGGCCAAAATTGTAGCATTTCAATTATATGGCAATATATTTGGGAAGAATATATTTTTCTTCCATATGGGTGCTCAACTATCATTTTTTTTGTTTTTGCAATTGTAAAAATGTTTTTCTTGGTTTTAGGAGAAATATAAAATGTGCAGGGATTTTTCACACAAGAATTGGCTGGTGTTCTTTAAAGAAAATGGGTAAGTACATTAGAAAACTGAAAAAATATATGTGTGCGGTTGTGTGTGCGTATAGTATGTGCTTATACTGTATGTATATGTGCAGTCTATGGGAATGTTTGACCATTTTTCTAGAAGCGCATTTGTGAGGTCAGACACTGATGTTGGATGAGAAGGCCTGGCTCGCAGTCTTCGCTCTAATTCATCCCAAAGGTGTTTTATAGGGTTGAGGTCAGGACTCTGTGCAGACGAATCAAGTTCCTCCACCCAAAAGGAATCAAGTTCCTCCACGCAGTCATCCATGTCTTTATGGAACTTGCTTTGTACACTGGTGTACAGTCATGTAGGAACAGGAAGGGGCCATCGCCAAACTGTTCCCACAAAGTTGGGAGCATGAAATTGTCCAAAATGTCTTGGTATGCTGATGCCTTGAGAGTTCCCTTCACTGGAACTAAGGGGGCAAGCCCAACCCCTGAAAATCAACCCCACACCATAATCCCCCCTCCACCAAACTTTACACAATGCAATCAGGGAAGTACTGTTCTCCTGGCAGGCATCCGAATACTTCTGGCAATTTAGTGTGTGTGTAATCTTACAATGCAAGTGTCTTACAGGGTTCTAATCTGTTGTTTTACAGCAATTCTCTCAGTGTTCTCGATGTCCTGGAGGGTACTGCCCACTCAATCTCCTTACCTATCAATCTCGCATCTGTTTTCCTAGTGGCAGAAGACAGGTGGCTCTTGATTGAGAATAAATCTAATAAGTAAGTCAATTAACTTTGTTTTTGCTGTACAATATGTAAACTTTGATTTTGGATAGAAGATCACACTGTGAGTGATTAATGGGAAAGTCTGCACATTAAAAATTACTCATTTAAAGACATAATAGTCTGCAAGTCTTGTTTTACACTTGGAGCACTTTGAGTAGTACATAACAGAGTTTTGAAAACATATGTATGGTATGTATACATAGAGTAAAATTTTTAATTATCTGTTGGAAACAGGGGTGGACTGACCATTTGGAAACTCGTACACTGCCCGAGGGCACGGGGTCAGTAGGGGGCCCCATGAGATGCCCCTGGTATTTTTTTCATAGGCTTTTTTGAGTTTGGGCAAGGACACAGGGGCCCCATGATCCCCTATTGCCTGGGGGCCCCATGAGTTGTCAGTCTGCCCCTGGTTGGAAATAATCATATGACACCTTTCCAGAATCTATGCTCCTTTGCAGAAATGTGTAGTAGCCATGTATAATGTATGTTTTTTTTTTTCTTGGTTCAGGAATAGTGATAAAAGGTGTAAAGGAAAAGTTTAATGATTGTTGGTCAATTCTATTTTATTTGAAGGTTTACAAGTTTATAAATGGTATAATACTTCCTGTGCAACAAGATATAAGAGATCTGTGAAGCAGGGGTTACACCATATATAAATTATGTATTTAAAAAAAATTAAATAAATTATATATATATATATATAATATATATATATATATATATATATATACACAGTCAGGTCCATAAATATTGGGACATCGACACAATTCTAACATTTTCGGCTCTATACACCACCACAATGGATTTGAAATTAAACGAACAAGATGTGCTTTAACTGCAGACTGTCAGCTTTAATTTGAGCGTATTTACATCCAAATCAGGTGAACGGTGTCGGAATTACAACAGTTTGCATATGTGCCTCCCACTTGTTAAGGGACCAAAAGTAATGGGACAATTGGCTTCTCAGCTGTTCCATGGCCAGGTGTGTGTTATTCCCTCATTATCCCAATTACAATGAGCAGATAAAAGGTCCAGAATTAATTTCAAGTGTGCTATTTGCATTTGGAATTTGTTGCCGTCAACTCTCAAGATGAGATCCAAAGAGCTGTCACTATCAGTGAAGCAAGCCATCATTAGGCTGAAAAAACAAAACAAGCCCATCAGAGAGATAGCAAAAACATTAGGCATGGTCAAAACAACTGTTTGGAACATTCTTAAAAAGAAGGAATGCACCGGGTGAGCTCAAAAACACCAAAAGACCCGGAAGACCACGGAAAACAACTGTGGTGGATCACTGAAGAATTCTTTCCCTGGTGAAGAAAACACCTTTCACAACAGTTGGCCAGATCAAGAACACTCTCCATGAGGTAGGTGTATGTGTGTAAAAGTAAACAATCAAGAGAAGACTTCACCAGAGTGAATACAGAGGGTTCACCACAAGATGTAAACCATTGGTGAGCCTCAAAAACAGGAAGGCCAGATTAGAGTTTGCCAAAGGACATCTAAAAAAGCCTTCACAGTTCTGGAACAACATCCTATGGACAGATGAGACCAAGATCAACTTGTACCAGAGTGATGGGAAGAGAAGAGTATGGAGAAGGAAAGGAACTGCTCATGATCCTAAGCATACCACCTCATCAGTAAAGCATGGTGGTGGTAATGTCATGGCGTGGGCATGTATGGCTGCCAATGGAACACGTTCTCTTGTATTTATTGATGATGTGACTGCTGACAAAAGCAGCAGGATGAATTCTGAAGTGTTTTGGGCAATATTATCTGCTCCTATTCAGCCAAATGCTTCAGAACTCATTGGACGCCACTTCAAAGTGCAAATGGACAATGACCCAAAGCATACTGCAAAAGCAAACAAATAATTTTTTAAGGGAAAGAAGTGGAATGTTATGCAATGGCCAAGTCAATCACCTGACCTGAATCTGATTGAGCATGCATTTCACTTGCTGAAGACAAAACTGAAGGGAAAATGCCCCAAGAACAAGCAGGAACCAAAGACAGTTGCAGTAGAGGTCTGGCAGAGCATCACCAGGGATGAAACCTAGTGTCTCGTGATGTCTATGCGTTCCAGACTTCAGGCTGTAATTGACTGCAAAGGATTTGCAACCAAGTATTAAAAAGTGAAAGTTGTATTTATGATTATTATTCTGTCCCATTACTTTTGGTCCTTTAACAAGTGGGAGGCACATATGCAAACTGTTGTAATTCCAACACCGTTCACCTGATTTGGATGTAAATACCCTCAAATTAAAGCTGACAGTCTGCAGTTAAAGCACATCTTGTTCATTTCATTTCAAATCCATTGTGGTGGTGTATAGAGCCAAACATGTTTGTGTCCACATGAATTGTGTCGATGTCCCAATATTTATGGACCTGACTGTATATAGTTTTATATAGGCTTCTTGCGTAACGTTTTCTTTGCATAGCACACTGGACTTTCTTATATAAAAGCCCAGCACTGCCTACTCACTTTTTGAACGGCTTGTGTAATTGAAAACCCATGGAGCTCTGTGTGAGCAAATATGTCCCTCATGTGACCCATTTAGTTGTGTCTGTGTTTTAAATTGCAGAAGCTCTAAACAGCATAGCAGTAAATAACTTGGCAGTAGTAGTGGAGAGATTAATTTTAAATGATTCATCTGCTTGCTACAAATGGTAATTATGAAAATCTGGGGACTTCCTCATTATCGGTTTCCTTTTGACATCACTTCCCCTGTAAAACAAATTTGAAAACCAACACACACAGGGCATTTGCCAAATTTCATTAAAGCTTTAAAAAAACCATCACAAAATCATCAAAAATACATATAAAATGCATATTAACTGGTTGGCTCTTTAATGTGTAGTATTAATCAATGCATGTGTAAACGAGCTGCCCTTTCACTAACCTGATGTAAATCAAAGCCAAGGCTTCTGCTCCATACAGTTCTACATAAACTGTAGATGTAACAAGACTGGCTCACAGTACAGGTGACCTGAAAAAGCAGGGCTTGGGACTATAGGAGCACTGGAAGGACTCAGAAATAGTGCAAAGGGCAGCTCCATCCAGGGCAAGATCAATAGCTAAAATGCTAGATCGTGAAGGGAAAACAAAAGAAAGACAATGGGGAGATTTACTAAAACTGGAGAGTGCAAAATTGGTGTAGCTCTGTATAGAAACCTCTATCGGCTTCCATTTTTTTTTTTTTGTCAAAGCTTAATTGAACAAGCTGGAGTAAGACACTGATTGGCTACTATCCATAGCTGCACTAGATTTTGCACTCTCCAATGTTAATAAATCAATTATTTTATATTTTAGAGCTGAACATACATAAAGAAAATGTAAAAAAAAAAATTCAGTGCATTCACTTTAATATTTTCTTTGGAAAACATGGATCTAACAGCAGTCTGAAGCATGTGATGGAAATGGGAAAATTAAACCAGTTTAGAGACTATAATATAAGAACATTACGTTCACACTGATGTGGTGTGAGTCGAATCCATTTAGCAGTGCGATTTCAGGAGCAGCTCCAGTGTGAGTTGGTACTGGAATCTCCTAGAGTCCACAGCAACAGTTTCTATTCAAGTCTGTGTAGATAAAAATCGCACCATAATGAACTTGCACAGGACACTTTTTCAAATCGCATCAGATTCACACTTTATATATGTGAATAGCCTCCATAGAAATTCATGTTCTTTCACGTATTATGTGATTCTATGCTTTCTGGAATGGATCAGAAATCGCATCAGTATGAACCAGGGCTAAAACATTAATCTTTTTAAGGTTTGCTCTGTTTTTATTAAAAATATGTGAAAAGACAAGAACAAAGAGTAATATACAATGTTGTTAGTCACACAGAATGATGAGTAGACAATTGTAATAGGAAAAAAAAATTGAAAATATTCATGTCTAGAACAGGAAGAGATATAGTTTAGTGATGTCACTATCTACCATTAGAATGAAAAGAAATAGAGAAAAGAAAACCAGAGATAAGAATGGGTAAAAAGAAAAAAACAGTGATTTGCAAGGTCTTAGATTGCAAGGTCTCTTAGGATCAGGAGCATTGTGGGTTTATAGACTACAAGTGGTCTCTTTTCCACAAGACCCAGGTTATATAGTAACAGAATCAGCAAGACACAACATTCTGAGCAAATCAACAAAGCAGTAAGAACATTTTTCTGTCCTTTAGAACAACTTGAGTCTAATTCGAGTAAGCATATGCACCAGCTTCAATAACAGTAGTCCCACATACTTCAAAAGATTAATTTAAAGTTGTATTGATTTTGCTTTTGAGTGTCAATTTCACTTGCTGTTTGAAGAGGTAAATGGTGAGGTATTTGCATTCAAGCATTTTTACATGTTTGAAGTTTTTTGTGATGGATTGGGGAATGATGTAATCCATGGTTTAGGAACTTGGAGTTTGCTTTTTGTTTTGTGACATGTTGCTATGGGTTGTGTAAAAATGCAGATTTGCATTTTACAAAAGCAAAAAAAAAGAAAGTAATAATAACCAACATGTGCACCACATTCAAGTAGTTCTAACTAATGCCACTTTAAAGTAATAATAAAGGCTCAAGTGTGTTTTTTTTTTTTTAACAAACATGTCATACTTACCTGCTCTGTGCAAAACCATCGCTCCTGAGCTACGCTTCTGTGAATGGACATTGTCCATTCACACACAGAGCGTGGCTCTACCCTGCCTAGCAGCGAGAGCCATTGAGGATTGATAATTGTATGAGCCAATGAGGAGACAGAGACCCAGGACAGCCGCTGCTCCTATACACATTGCTGGATTGAGAAGGGGCTATGGTAAGTATAAGGGGGGGGGCTGGGGGGGAAGCTACACCCAGAAGTTTTTTTTTACCTTCATGCATAGAATGCATGAAGGTAAAAAAACCTTCTGCCTTTAGAACCACTTTAAGAACCTGTTGCTCAGATTCTTAAAGAATAACGCCAGTTTGCAGATTAGGAAACTAGCAATAACAAAGATGAGCTCTGAGCTGGCATTTAGAGGGTATGCCAGTGCTTTGGGTGGCTTCCTGCACAGGACTCTACCCCTGGCTCCATTCAGCTGTCAACTGAGAGATTCCCAGGCTCAAAGCTAACAAGGAGGCCAGAGTCACTGGTGAAGTCATTAGTCAAAAATGGAAATGCTCATATTTGGGAAATGACTTGAGGTACTGGGTTAGGCAGAGCCTGATGGAGAACTGAGAGACTAGTTTTCCATCAGGTCCGCCTTACTTTTTATTGGCAATGCATAGTAGTGGGGGGAAAGGCATGTACCCTGTATTGCACTGTTGTGTGCATGCATTTGGATGCTTCAGTACGGTTCATACACAAATGTGTTGTGGTAATATGCAGTAAACTGCATTTTATAGTAATGCGGCCTTGCCGTGGAAAGCCAAAGACCACTAATTCAGCACAAGGATCTATAAACTGTTGGTATACTACTTTTTCTAATGCCTAATAATATTTTCCCTGCAGGAAATTTCTTCTTACCACACCTGTACACGTAGAAGCTGAGAACAATGGAGTTTGTCAGCTGCACGCTCTAGAAGAGGAAGCAGTGAGCACAGGTTTTGGAGTAACAGCAGGTACTGAAAAATAATGTTTTATGTACGCAGGTAGGGAAATGGCGATCTATTACCATACAAAACTAGTGCTAGTTTCCTATTCATACATTTAACCAACATATTTCTTTTAAAAAGCAAATTGCATAGACTAATAGTGTAGTTTCAGTGAGTTCCTGCTTTTCATTTAGTTGTACCACTCAAAAATGACCCATGTATTGACTGCATCATGGACTGCAACTGCTCACATCTCAAAGTCCTCAGGTTACTTCTGTCTGGTTGTTTAGTATTGATTTATATTACATATATTTGTATGTACTTCTATCTTTGTGTACTATTGTTGCTTTCTGTGGATCTATCGTCTTTTTTTGCCATTTAGGTACTATATTAGACTGATTTTTATGTGCAGTGTTCCAGGCGTTTTTTCTTTAATAGAAGCCTCGCTAGATTTACATACCCACTCCTTCTGTTTTGGATGGCATGTTCTTTTCCTAGTGGCATTAGTCTCGGGGTTTTCACCATTAACTATTCATATATATCCTCAGGTTACTTCTATTTGGTTGTGGAGTATTGATTTATGTTACATACAGTATAGTATATTTACTTGTTTTACATTTTTTTACATTTATTCATTTTCTCTGGCATGCATCCCAGGAGTCTTCAAGAGGGGAGGAGGGGCTTTCTCAGCTAAGCACAGCCTCCTGCTTGCATGCCTGAGCTAAGGGCAGATGGATTCCAGGAAGTAAATGCTACATAAATCATCTGTCTTTACTCAAGATGGCCACCGCCAGGATGCTAAAGGGTTGTTTTTCAAAGTGATTTCTCAGCAAAATAAAGCTTGGTGACATGGATAGATGGGGGACTTTGCTTTGAATATTATGAATTAATTAAATAGCATTTTTTTGTTTGTGGTGTTTAGATGAAGTGTATTTCCTCTTTAAGACTACCTTTTTTTTGGCAAGTGTGGGGGTGCACATGCAACCCTCCATTGTATCAATAGGGTTTTTCAGGCTTTGCTGTTTTGGGCAAAGCGCACAGTTAAAGAACCTGGGGCTTTATCATCTTGATTCCATAGCTAGACAGCACTTGAAGCTATTTTCTGAAGCTTTACCCTTCTGTGTGGATACGGTATGTTGGGAGATTCTGTCTGACAACACTATTGTCTGAGATTTCTTTAAGTTCACATGAGGCTAGTGCTGTGGCTAAAATGCTGGTCAGCAGAGCTCACTTTCAGTAAACCTCTGAAACATATGCCTTTATAGGGCAAAGTCCTCTTTGGCAACACCTTGGTTATGATTATCCAGAAGATCACAGGAGGAAAGAGCACTGTCTTACCTCTAACAAACTTGTAGAAAACTTTGGAACAGAAGTGATCTTCCTCTGGGAAGAAAATGGATTCCTTTCATTCCTTTCAAAATTTAGCAGAAGATTCATTCAGAAGAAATCCTGGAACCATAAACCACTAAAATGGGTAAGAAGATGGGGGTGCAAACTCAGAGGCAGCTCTAGATGTCACTGCTACCCCTACAGCCAGGACAGCAGCACTTCTAGTAGGGGATGTGAGGGTAGTGCAGGAAGCCTAGACAGATGGTGGTAATAGGTGATTCTATAATCAGAAGGACTAAGAGAATAATCTGTCACCAGAAACGCCTTAGCTGATGGTTTGCTGTCTCCCTGGTGCCAGTGTTTGGCATGTGGTGAACTGGGCTGATAAAGTACTGGGAGGTGCTGGGCATGACCCAGCTGTGTTGGTCCATGTTGGAACCAATGACAGAATACATGGAAGGTGGAGGCTCCTTAAGAATCAGTTTAAAGAACTAGGCTGCAAGTTAAAAGGAAGCACCTCCACTGTGATATTCTCTGAAGTATTGCCTGTGTCATGCACAACAGAGGAAAGACAGGGGAAGATTAGAGAACTCAATGCATGGCTAAAGACCTGGTGTAAGAGGGATGGATTTTGGTTTCTGGAGTACTGGGCTGACTTTCATTGGGGTGCAAACTATATGCTAAAGATGTTTTGCTCCTAAATGGAAAGAGGTCTGCTGTGCTGGGGGAGAGGTTTATGGGAAGGCTGGAGGAGTATTTAAACTAGGATTGAGGGGGGGATGGAGGGTGAATTAGAATATAATGGGGAAGACAGGTCAGACGGGGCAGTCCCTAATGGTGAGTGGAATGGGAGAAGGTCTGTGGCAGGTGATAAGAAAGTCCCCATGTTACAAACAACCATTGGAAGTGGTACTATTTGTACTACAAACAAAAAAAACTAATTCAAAATACATGTGCAAAAGGTGTCAATGAATTAACGTGTTTGTTCACCAATGCCAGAAGTCTGCCAAGCAAAGCAGGTGAGTTGGAAGCTTTGGTGCATGAACAGAACTATGATTTAATTGGTATTGCTGAATATTTGCTTCATTCTTCGCATGACTAGGCCATTAATATTCCTGGCTGTTCTCTCTTTCAGAGAGACAGGGTAAAACGTAACGGTGGTGGTGTCTGTCTCTATGTGAGAAGTTATCTCAGAGCGAGTGTGAAAGAGGACCTGTTGATAGAGAGTGTGATGAAGCTGAAGCATTATGGGTGGAACTGCATATGGGTGTGCGTACTTCAAAGTTAATCATTGGAGTTTGTTACAGGCCACCCGGAGTTATTAAGGAGTTGGAGACTCCACTTCTTGCATACATAGAAAGGGCTGCAAGGGTTGGGACAGTGATGATAATGGGGGATTTTAACTACACTGAAATTGACTGAGTAATGACATTGTGGGAACAGTTAAAGGGCAACAATGTATAAAGTTTTTACAGAACATTTTTATGGTACAGTTCATAGAGGCCCCATCTAGAAACGATGCTATGCTGGACCTGGTAATCTCAAACCATGAAGATCTTATTATTAATGGACTTACAGAGGAACATTTGGGAAGCAGTGACCATAACACGATTTTTTTAATTTTAGCTTTTGGTTATTTTAAAGTAGAATGTCATGAAACATACAGTAGTTCACTGATGTATTGCGTTTCTACTAATCTGTGTCTGGATTAAAGTAAACCTTTCCTAAAAAACAACATTGCAGGCTGTCATGTTGGGCTTCTTGTTTTAAAACAGTAAGTCACTAACCACAATGTGTTAGTGGTTCATAGACTCAAAAAGTATTGAAGTCAGAGATTTCAGCATAGGCAATCAGTATTTTCAGAAAGAAGTCAGCAATTTTAGCCCTTATATTTCATTTAATGTTAGAATACTAGACTAAGTAGAATTAGTTTGTGATTTCAATGTACAAGTGATTTCCACAATCTTTTAAATTGCTCCATAACACTGAGCTTGCTTTATACATGAAAGATTCAGTTTAACAAAATGAAATTGAGCATTACACTTTGTTCCTTGCTTCAGGCTTGGAGCCCTCCAACCCCCATGTGATATCCAGTGATCAGCTGCCACCTGAGAACCTGAGTGCAGCCATCGGGCAGAAGATCAATTCTCCTAATAGGATTCTTTCTGATGAGAATAACTATGCCTCCATCATTGTGGGCTTCCCAGATCTACTGGTAAAACATTAAAAACAATTATGTATTTAAGAAATATTTAAACATAGAGGGAACAATTTCAGAAACTAGTACATTTAATTGTAGTGCAAAGCATATATCTTCAGGTTTGTGAACATTTATTTTTAACCATGATCTGTTAGTCCACATATACACTGCTCAAAAAAAGTAAAGGAACACTTTGAAAACACATCAGAGCTCAATGTGGAAAAATATCATACTAGATATCTATATTGATATGGACTGGATAATATGTTAGGTTAACGTAAGGAAGCCCCCTCATTTGATGGAAATGAAAATGATCAACCTACAGAGGACTGAATTCAAAGACACCCCGAAAACCAAAATGAAAAAATGATGCAGCAGGCTACTCCATTTTGCTGAATTTCATTGCAGCAACTCAAAATGTTACTCAGTAGTTTGTATGGCCCCCACGTACTTGTATGCATGCCTGACAATGTTGCGGCATGCTCCTAATGAGAAAACGGATGGTGTCCTGGGGTATTTCCTCCCAGATCTGGACCAGGACATAACTGAGCTCCTGGACAGTCTGAGGTGCAAGCCTGGCAGCATCGGATGAACTGAAACATGATATCCCAGAGTTGTTATATTGGATTTAGGCAGGCAAGCGTGGGGGCCATTCTATGGTATCAATTCCTTCATCCTCCAGGAACTGCCTGCATACTCTTGCCACATGAAGTCAGACATTGTCGCACACCAGGAGGAACCCAGGACCCACTGCACCAGTGTAGGGTCTGGCAATGGATCCAAGGATTTCATCCCAATACCTAATGGCAATCAGGGTACCATTAGAGCCTGTAGAGGTCTGTGTGTCCCTCCATGGATATGCCTCTCCACACCATCATTGATCCACCACCAAAACGGTCATGCTGAACGATGTTAGAGGCAGTTTTCCACGGATTCTCCAGACCCTTTCACATCTGTCACATGTGCTCAGGGTGAACCTGCTCTCAGCTGTGAAAAGCACAGGGCACCAGTGGTGGACCTGCCAATTCTGGTGTTCCATGGCAAATGCCAATCGAGCTCTATGGTGCTGTGCAGTGAGCACAGGGCCCACTAGAGGATGTCAGGCCCTCAGGCCACCCTCATAAAGTCTGTTTCTGATTGTTTGGTCAAAGACAATCACACCAGTGGCCTGCTGGAGGCCATTTTGTAGGGCTCTGGCAGTGCTCATCCTGTTCCTCCTTGCACAAAGGGGCAGATGCCGGTCCTGCTGATGGGTTAAGGACCTTCTACGGCCCTGTTCAGCTTTCCTAGAGTAACTGCCTGTCTCCTGGAATCTCCTACATGCTCTTGAGACTGTGCTGGGAGACACAGCAAACCTTCTGGCAATGGCATGTATTGAAGTGCTATGCTTGAGGAGTTGGACTACCTGTGTAACCTCTGTAGGGTCCAGGTATCGCCTCATGCTACCAGTAGTGACACTGACACCAGCCAAATGCCAAACTAGTGCAAAACAGTCAGAAAAGATGAGTAGGGAAAAAAATGTCAGTGGCCTCCTCCTGTAAAACCATTCGTGTTTTGGGGGTTGTCTCATTGTTGCCCATCTAGTGCACCTGTTGTTAATTTCATTAACACAAAACCAGCTGAAACTTATTAACAACCCTCTGCGCTACTTAACTGACCAGATCAATATCCCAGGAGTTTAATTGACTTTATGCTATACTCCGATTAAAAAGTGTTCCTTTAATTTTTTTGAGCAGTGTATTGTCTAAAAAATATGTCTGTACATATCCATTAAAAATTATGTACAATCTTTATAATCTCAACCTGTGGGAAGGTGCCTATGTGCATGTATATAGCATGTATAGTTTAAAGGAATATGATACAACTATAGGAAAATATTGTTTTTAAAAACTAAGGAGCTGTTTAAACTTCTAAATATAACCTATTAACATTCACCCCTTTTGTATTCAATAGGAGAGTAGCTAATATTTAAAGCATTGCCCGATACACTGAAATATTTTGTGCCCATGCCTAACCCCTCCATCACACCAATACTGACTGACAACTTTGCGGAAATTAGACCAAACAATGGAAGCACCTGCCGTATTATGAGCAGAATTCTTTTATCTGGGTTATGCATAGCAGGTTTGGGGGCCCATAAACAGTAGCACCCTCATGTAAAGAAGAGTATTTGTTTTAAGTGCTAGAACCCATAGCAATTATTAAAAATTAATTTTGTCCTAGGTTGAATTTAGCAGAGTGAAGTGTGGTTGAGTAATAACATTTTTATTCAACAAGGTACTACTGGGTTTTTTATAGACTGTACACTTTGCAAGGGTATTTGCTCCATAGCTTAGTAAATGAGGTAAAACTTAATTTTGCAAAGGATACTCAATCACATGTAAGGAAAAAAAACAGCATTTTTAGTTGGATGATGGAAGCTTCTCATTTACTAAGCTCTGGAGCAAATGCCTTTGCAGATTGCACCTGTACATGCAAAGTGCACAGTCTATTTGCCTTTAGTAAATCAACCCCCAAGGCTCCATGTACATGGGACGTTTGGAGAGCACTTCTGATTGATGGAAACTGACTGCTGGAAAATATAGGTTTACCCGCGTTTATGTGCGTTTGCGTTTAGAAGCGTTTTTTAAAGATAACATCAGGAGACCTTCCAAAATGCCCAGAATGCACTGGAAAAACATAAAAAAATTAACTATTTCAGACATTTTAAGAGAAATAGAGAGAGTAAAAGCAGAGAGAGCAGTATGTGTTGAGATTACCTATCTTTTCTGGTTGTATTCACTATGGATCCCATCATGAGCATAATGCAGCACATTCTACCATTTTTTCCTTCACAAAAAACCTGCAACTGACTACGCTGGTGTACTAGGTCCATTTGAGTACATGGAAAACACTTTGCATGCATTTCTGATGATGAAAAAGGCTCTGGACAGCATTTGGATATGGAACAGTTAAAAAATGCTTCTAAATGCAAACGCTTATAAACATGGTTGGCCTCGTTTACACGCATTTGGCGTTTGAAACGCTGATAAAATCTACTCCTGAACACAAGCTTGGTGCGTTGAAAAAAAACGACTGTAAACTCAACTGCCTGCAAACAACTGTAAACAACATAGTGTACATGGCCACATAGGAAAACATTAGGGAGAGTTCAGGGGGCTGCTGAAAAAAACGCAGAAAAGCTCTTGAGCGTGAGTTTATCAGCTGCATTGTACATGAACCCTAAGTGTTTTTATTTTTTCCACAAGCAATGCTGCATTTTTTCTGAAAATGTTATGTTGCTGATCCAGAATCAAATAGCACCTAATAACACACTATGGTTGCTAGTAATTGATGTCTGTTGATTTGTCATTGCAGTCACCTAGTGAAGTGTACAGCTGGAAGAGGAGGTCTTCTTTGGGAAGTCATGGAACACCTGCTGGTGATCAGTTTTTCCAGCCGGGACGCAGTAAATTTGGAAATATAAAGAAAGGTTGTGCGAGTTTAGTAGCTGCTAACCAGATGGTGAGAGGTGTGCCAGCTGTAGATGTGCCTTTCAAAGATATTTACCCTAAAGGTAAGCTTTACAAAGTTATTAGGTTTAGTTATAAGAATTGGCATTTAAATACATTTAATACAAGGGTTTATTCTTGGCTCAGGATTCTCAGAGCATTTGGGATTTTCCAAAGAAGAGCACAGCAGCAGCTTTTTACTTTCAGAATGTCTCTCTCCAATTGAAACTCTGTTTGGTACTGCATAAAAACAAGAGATAGAATGAGTATTTCCTCTGACCATTTTTGTGCATTTAAAGTTTCCACCATTAAAGCTGATTTACACATGTGCCATGCAGATTGAAACTCAGGTTTCACAACTAATTGATACAGTAGTTGTTCTGCGGCTCATGTCAGGTTTACATCAGGTTCAGGACAGGAATAGCTCAGCATCTTATCCTGTTCACACATATGCGCTTTAGAAATAGTTCCCATAGGAGTCAATAGCCTGTAATCCGCATCTGAAACATGAAGGTATTGCTCAGAAATCATACATGACTCTTTTTCAAACCGCACTGAATCCGTACTGCCAGTGCATTGGACATATGTGAACGTGCACCACAGGAAGCAATGTTTTTTCACGTCATGCGGCTTGGATGCAGTTCAAATTGCATCCAATCTGCATGAATGTGAACCAGCACTTAAACAGCCAAACAACAAAACTGTGTTGTTGTTTTTTTTGGATAGAGTTGGGAAGCGTTACTATGTCAAGATTTTGTTACTCTCTGTGCCTCTATTTTTAGAGATTTCTCCTTATGGTCTATTGGGACAGGGAGAGATGGGAATTCTCTCCACGGAGCACACAAGCAAAACACATTGTTAGCATGATAAGCTATGCAGCTCCTGCCCTCCGTCCAGACCTGCTGTGCCTTCATGCTGTATATCTGTGTAAGGGAAGACAGTGAAGGGGGCTAGGACATTGAAGTAAAGAGTGAGGGGGGATGATGTGAAGGGGAGCTGAGGACAATACTGTGAAGGATGGAGGACACTACTGTGAAAGGGAGGGTGATGTGAGGGGTGGCTGAGGACTTTAATGTAAAGGGGGGATGTGATGTTAAGGGGGACAGAGGACACTGCAGTGAATGGGCTATGAAGTGAAGGGGCTGAGAACACCACTTTGGGGAGATTGATGTTAAGGGGGGTTGAGGACATTGTTGTGAAGAAAAGGGTGGTGTGATGTGAAAGGCAGGTGAAAGTACTACTGTACAAGGGGTGTATATGTGTGTATGAAGGGGGAGACTGTGATTTAAAGGGGGATCTTGATGTGCTGGGAGGACTGGGGACACTGATGTTAAAAATGGTTTGTGATGTAAGAAGCAAAGGGGCTGTAATGTGAATAATCTGGGTTTTCACACAAACAGGCAATTCAGACCTATGTTAGTAGAAACCTTCTCTGACCAGAGGTTTGTGAATTTTAATTCAATACCACTGTTATAGAGTGAGGAAGAGTTAGAATATTTGGCAATGTTTGCATTGCTTTATCTGGCCTTTCTGTCCCGGTAATGTCCACATTCCCCTCTTTCTTGTACATGCGTCACAGGGACAGGAACTTTAAATTCAAAGACCTAAATAAAAACTTGCATTTTTGATGCCAGAGTTTTAAGGTTCTCAAACGCACATTTGTCATACAGGGTTCTGTCTTTAAAATGAACTTTGCAGTCCCTCATAAATAGCAGCTTAAAAGTAAAAAAAAAAAAACGGTAAGAAAAAACAGTTAGTCCATATACCTACTTTAGCCTTAGCTCTGTACTGCAGGGGACAACATTACCATCCTTGGAGAAATCTCAGATTTTACAAGCCAACACCTCCAGCACGGTGTAGGAGTGTCCTCTTCTGAGCTTTGAATACTTAGCATTCCTTTGTATCTCGCTGAAATTATGATGACGTCACTCTCACCAAGACATCGGGGGTAGAGCTGGGTATAGGTAAGTATATTTAATTTTTTTTCCCCCTGCAGTGTTTTTTTTCTTCTTACTTTAAATCTGCTAATAATTAAAATGGTTTCAAAACAGGTTTTCTTTACTTTAATGCATTCTATGCATTAAGGTAAAAAAAAACCTTCTGGATGCAGCTTCCCCTTAGCCCCTCCCCCTTATGCTTATCTGAGCCCCCACCTCATTGTGTATAAGAGCCGCGGCTCTCCTGGGTTTCACTCTCTCATAGGCTCTTGCTGTTGCCAACCACAGCCAGTGAGCCAATGAGGAGAGAGTCGTGCTCTGTGTGTGAATGGACAATGTCCATTCACAGGAGCATGGCTCGGGAGCGAGCCTGTTCAAGTGCCTCCAGAGCAGACGGCTTGCTATTGGGGACAGTCGGCAGTGGGTGGTGAGGGAGCCAGGACTGCCAGCAGGGGGACCCAAAAAGAAGAGGGTCAGGGCTGCTCTGAGCAAAACCATTATACAGAGCAGGTAAATATGACATGTTTGTTATTTTTTGTTTGAAAATCTTTAGGATCACTTTAAGATGGAGGCTTTTTTTTTTCTTTACTGCAAGGTCCACTTTAATATCTGAGGACCTTTTGCTGAATTAAGTGCCATACTCATCATGAGCATAGTGCAAATGCTGTATGTATGGTAAATGTGTGGTATGCCTATTGTCCCAGCAAAGAAGATGGAAATTCAGGTGAATACCATTGATACAGGTATCCAAGATTAAACCAGTGTACATTTATCCCTTCTTAATTTAGTGCATTTATGAGCAGCATGAATTCAAGGTGACAAATTCATTTCACATAGTGTGTGTGAAGAATGTGTGAAGGAGCTGGTGTATTTTTTGGGTAGTATGACTCATTTATTAACTGTGAAGCAGCTTGTGCTTTTGCCACATAATTCATTCTAACACATATGCAACCACTTTATTTATAGTAAGATGCTAAATGTCGGAGACAAAATTGATGGTATTGTTTATTGAATAGCTTTCCTGAATAACATTTCGTTACCTTAGTGCTACAAAGCTCAACGTACTACTTCAGTTCTGGATGACACTTTTTACAAGCAGCCTGTGGAGAAATGACTTTAAAATGACCCGCAAAGGTCACCTGCATCTTAATTTGTAATTAGCATTGTTCTGTTTAACGTTCTGCAGCTTTGTGTGTAATTTTGATGTAACCCTATGATTTCTAACCAGAATCTTGCAGGGTATGCTTTAAGAGCAGCACAGTTGTTACCTTCTGTTACAGTGGAATCACAGCCATTTCCCCTTTTTTTGTTTTGAATAGATTAGAAAAGGACTGCTGTCTCTGTCAGGTTTTTACTGCTGTCTATGTATCTCTTGTGGAGATTTCCCCTTCCCTTTGTTACAACAGGATGTAGCCTCTTTTTTTTTTTATAACAAAAGGAATGCTTTTTTGAGACATTACACCAATGTACATATGAATCAAAGTAGCAATACAAAAGGGTTCATGAGCTTCAATAGCAGATCAAAGCAGATATGAAATTGTATAGAAGATGCACAGAGTAGTCAAGCGCAGGTCATGCAAAGATTGCAAACAACATATTCCAACCTGAGGGTATACGTCCAGGATATTATCCAACATCTTTGTATTTCAACCTGCCAGAGGAAAAGGAGAGAAAAAAAAAAAGTCGGGGGAGTGGAAAGGAAGGAGGAGGGGTGGTATAGACAGGAGTGGGAAATTAGGACAGGAGGAGACTGAGGGCTTAAGAAATAAGAGTGGGATGCACAGGGGCCATTCGCTGTATACTCCCTGAAAGGGCATCGTAGGACAGAAAGAAAAAAAACAGAAAAGTGATCTCTAGCCAGAATATTAGACCCTGAGGTTCCTAGCTTCCACCCAAGATGACCATATTTTATCAAACTTCTTGTGGCAGTTACGTCCATATAGGTCAGCTTGTACATGGTTAAAGTGGCATTAATCATGGATTTCCATGCTGAGACTGTTGGGGGTTCTGGCATCTTCCACTTAGACAAGATAGTTTTCCTTGCACAGTATGCATCATAAATAATAAACAATTTAGTGTGGGTGATGGTGGGCAAATTATTGGTTATACCAAGTAGTAGAAACACAGGATCCACCATAATTCTGACTCCACTAATCTCATTAATGTCAACAACCACTGCCTGCTAAAAGTTTTGGAGCAGCGAACAGGACCAGACCATATGGATAAAATGTCCTACCTCTCGGCTACACTTCAGTATCATTATTAGTATGATAAATGGCTGACAGTCTCTGGGGAGTGTAATATACCCTTGTGAAGAAATTTTAATTGAACAAAACGGTCTTTAGCTGAAATCATAAGAGGGATGTATTGCTGGAGACCCTTGCTCCAGTCTTCATCAGTTAGATTTTGTAGATCTCTGTACCAAGCTTGATAAGTTTTTCTTGTGCTAGAAGTGCCTTTGCAGTTAAGTCTAAAATAGATAGATGATAGGGTTCTATCTATGCTGTGGGCTGGGAGAAGTTTTTCAACCGAGTGAGAGTTAAGGGTTATGGGATCCGGAAACTGCGCACAAATGGCATGCCTACGCTGCAAATACCTGAAGTACATCCAGAGAGGAAGCTGAAATTCTCTATAAAGGGAAGATGTCATTCAGGCATAACATGTTGCAGAGTCCTGATGCCATACCCGGCCCAAACCTGCAGGTACGGTACAGACCTCAAATGAGGCTGCGATGGATTACCCCACAAAGGAGCATGTGGGGACATAGCCTGATGTTCACTAAGAAATGCAGTAACCTGCTTCCAAACTATAGCTGTAGTTTTCATGGGTGCGGTTACTTCAGGTTAGAGCGAAGCCCTCTATATACCAAATTATTAAGCTCTGAATAGGACCCGAGAAGCGACGCCTCCAAATCTACTGTAGGGATTGAGTGATCTTGGGCAAACCACCACCGCCCAGCAATATTTTTTTTTTTTAAACCAAGGCAATGCCAGGCCTCCTTCAGACAAAGGAAGCTGTAAAGAGTATCTAACTACTCTCTGAACAGAGCCTGCCCAAACAAAACAGGTGAAAGCCTGATCCAGTTTGGCGGAAAAAGCATTAGGGATAGGAATCGGGGTATGTCTAAAAATATATAGAAATTTAGGAAGGAAGGTCATTTTGATCAAATTTATTCTACCCACTGGGGGCAATGGCAGTGTTTTCCAGGTAGAGCATTTCCGAAGAAATTGTTGAAAAACCAGATAGAGATTATCCTCCAAATATGAGAAGTCTTTCTGCACATAGGCACCAAGGTATTTAAAATGAGTTACCCAGGTGTGAGAGGGAGGGACAAATTTGCGGGGGGCGCCTCTCGGGTCAAAGGGAACAGGACCGACTCATCCCAATTTATTTTGATACCAGAGAATGAGCCAAAAAGGTTTTGATTGCAATCTTTCTTGGTATCAAGAGATCCCCGAACTTCTTAATAGGTGATTTAACAGTACTGATTGGCATATTCAAGGCTTTGGACATCTTTTATGTCCTTTTCCATCTTTATAAAGTTCCATTACCTTGTTACGCACGACGTTTGACAGTTCTTTTCTGATCCCCATGGCTCAGTATCTAGCCTAGTCAGTGCTTCCACGTAAGAAGAGCTAACAAACCCATTGACTATTTATACACTGACACTAATTGCAATTTAAAAAGACACAGATGTGGGACATTAACCTCTAATTGGTATTTTAACCCGTGTGTGTCACCTTGTGTGTGTTGTACCAAGGCCAAACATTCCAGGGTAGGTAAACTTTTGATCATGGCCATTTGGGTGATTTCTGTTATAATTATGATTTAAAAAGGAGCCAAACAACTATTTGATAATAAATGGCTTCATATGATCATCATCCTTCAATTAAAGAGCATTTTTTTGGCATGATCAGTCATATTTGCAATGTCATTGCCAAAATTTCACAATTTCTGCCAGGGTATGCAAACTTTTGAACACAACTGTAGCAGTATATGTAGGATATAACCTCTTTAATGGGAACACAGACATCAATAGAAATCAGACAGATTCTCTAACCTTTCCCCACTTTTCTCAGAAAATTGCATTTTCTGTTTTCTATATTCCCTTAGAGCCGATTCACATACATGCGGTGCAGGCAATGCAGCAAATCCTGACATTTCCCACACCGCATTGAAATTGTTCATGCAATCTGCCACTGGTGTAAATGTTAAATTAATGGCAACCCAAAACAGATTGCAAAACGCAGTGCGATTGCAAGAAATGGATCATATGGGTGTGAACAGCCATGCGATCCTATTCAAGTGCGGCAGTAGAAAAGGTTTCGGCACCTTTTTCACGTGGGTGTATTGAAAATTTATCCCTTACAAAATGAATGGGCTCAAATCGCACTGTAAAGAATCACATGTGATTTGAACAGGAATGTGGTGAGATTCCTGTCCGAATCAAATGCGATTTCCCACACCATCATAGTGTGAATCCAGCCTAACTCTTCACATTCAGTCCCAGTGGAACAACAAGACATGAGAGGAAATCTCATTGTCTGACTTAAGTTCCATTTCAAGGAGCCCAAATATGGCTTGGTTTCAGTGAATACTACAAAACTCTGTACCATTGGTCACAGAAATGTTCTTGTGCAAATGATACATACATTTTATGACTTATTTCATATGTAGATTCTTGTTGTTGGACATCCTATTTCAAAACCATGGGCATTAATATGGAGTTACCCTCACCCTTTGTGGCTATACCAGCCTCCACTGTAGTGGGAAGGGCTTCCACAAGATATTGGAGTTTGTTTAGCAAACTATTGGCTAAAACATCAACGTATGCTGGAACCTGTACTCTTCAGTGGAAACACCTAAACACACTAAATTTATAGATGTGTACACATACTTTTGCCCATATAGTGCAGGCATCACTAAATGGCGGTCAGCTGTCTGGATCCGGACTGAGTCACTGTCCCATCCAGACCACCATGATCGCACAACTTAGAAGCTGATTCTTCCCCGCAGCCATCATTACTGTCATCCTCACAACAGAGCCAACAGTCAAAGTCAGCACAGTTCTAAACGAACAGTGGGAGCTGCCTAAGTTAACTTTTAAAGTTAACAAGCAGGCAGTTGGTTTCTAGGATGCAGGGTGGTCCTAGCAACCAGTCAGCAGATTAACATGAAAAGCTATGCAGCTCCCACCCTCCATCCAGACCTGCTGTGCCTCCATCCTGTGTATTTGTGTAAGAGAAGATGTTTAAGACATTGCTGTAAAGGGGGACTGGGGACACTACTATGAAGGATGGGGGGGAGGTGATGTGAGGGGGTCGTTGAGGACACTAGTGTGAGGGGGGTGTGATGTGAAGGGGATGGGTAATGTGAAGAGGGTTGAGGACACTACTGTGAAGAATGGGAAGTAGGGGTAATGTGAAGTGGGACTGAGGACACCACCGTTGTGTGTGTGTGTGTGTGTGGGGTGGGGGGGGGGGGGCATGGATGTGAAGGGGGGGTGAGTACATTTATGTGAAAAAAGGGGTGGTGTAATGTAAGGGGGGGGGGTGAGAACCCTACTGTCAAAGGAGTGGAATGGGAATGTGATATGAAGGGGGGCTGAGAACACTGTAGTGAAGGGGGAGGGTCATGTGAAGGGGCTGGGGACACTGTAGTTAAGGGGTGTGTTATTTGAAGGGGGGATGGTGAGGGGGACATGCAATATAAATTGGGGATCTTGATGTGAAGGGGAGGGAACTATGATGCGAGGGGGGGGCTCAGGATATAAAAATGGGATTGTGATATTAGAAGGGGGGGGGGGGGGCTATGATGTGAAGGATTTGAGTCATTGGAAGAACGTGATTCAAAAGTCTGCTGGAAGAATATATGTACCACTGATATACTGTAGTTTATCAGGTTATTGATGTGAAAGGCTCTTTAGAAGTTGATAGACAAACTGCATTCAGTGCAAGGTGTGATGTAAAAGGATACTGATCTTCTTTGATATGGAGATTTCATTTCACCCTTAAAAAACAACAATTGAGCTTCAGCAGTTTTTGCCAAGCTTTTATACTCTTATCTCAGAAAAGGTATAAGTATTGATCTGGCACACTACAGTATGCAAAAAATGGAAGCCCACTGACACTCTCAACGTCATACACGTTGTGATAGCAATTTGACATTATGTTGCTATGGCATAGAGGAAGAATTAACATTTCAAAAAGTTCTGCTCAACAAATTTACAAGGAGATATGGAAGAAAGAAGCGATCCTTCAAGCATTTTCACGCTGAAGATTAATTTGACTGAGGCATTTAAGTTTGAATAAAAGCAGCACTTTATTAGTTACACTCTTTTGTGTCATGATGGGATTATAAATTTGCATTTCACAAATGATTTGTTTCCTACCATACAAGAAGCATTAGTCTTAAAAAAATATTTTTCTATAATATTAGTACAGTTTCATATGGGGTCATCCTGGTGTAGCCCTCCTATTCTACTGTATGTACAGTTATAGACCAAGCTGAGATTTTCAGCCCAACTACAGCTGTCACTAACCTAAGTAACATTTCCATATATTTTTAAAGAATACACATGCAGTACATGTAACGCTGTGTCTCCTGCCCATAGTGGACTGTGTTTAGGAATAATCCAGTGCAGGGGCGGACTGACAACTCATGGGGCCCCCGGGCAATAGGGGATCATGGGGCCCCTGTGTCCTTGCCCAAACTCAAAAAAGCCTATGAAAAAGGTACCAGGGGCATCTCATGGGGCCCTCTACTTACCTTGGGCCCTTGGTCAGTGCCCGAGTTTCCAAATGGTCAGTCCGCCCCTGATTCAGTGGCAACAGAAGAGGTCACGGTCATCCTGTTACCATTGCGTCAAGGCTGGGAGAAGATCCATCTACTCGGGTTTAGAACAAGGATCCTGGCCACACATTTGGCACTCTTCAGGCAAATTCAGCCAGTTTCAACTAGATTTCAATTCCAAAAATAACTGAAAGTGAAGACAACCTAACACTAATAGTTTATATCATTAGTTTGGCCAATTTTGCAATCAAATGCTAGATGAAAGTATGTAGCCATCATTAGACTTGGCATGGAATTGGATTTAATGTCATTACACCCAATGTTAGGAAATGTTTAAATGCTTCCCATACAATAGAGGCTATTTTGCTTAAGGTGAGTATTCACTTTTTTCTGTGCTGGTACTTGTTTTTTTCTTCACGCTTTTACTTTTTTTTTTTTTAAGTGATGGAATTGAAACTGTATGCAATTATATTTCTGATACAAACAAGATTATTTATTTTTTTGTATGTGCAAAAGCATTGTGTTTCAGCACCAACTGAACATTTTATTTTCAAAGTATTGTATGCTATAAAATGCCCAATAACGTTTGAGCGGTGAATGAACTCCAACTCTCAGAAACTTTGTTTGGAAGCTAGCATTTAGGCATAAAGCTAAATCTGAACCTTTTACTGTCATCTGTTTTTGTTAAAGGCTTTGTCTGTTATGTATGAATTTTCCTTTCTCCTTGATGTGAGGGGTTATAGAAAGTGTAGTGACAACCTTTAAAATCTATAAATAAATCCGTGTATGTCAGCTGGTCTGAAAGAATGTCAGAAATTATATACAGTGTACTTAGGCTTCACAGTTTCTTTCATGCTAACTTCCCGTTGCACTTCATGGAAATTACATTAATCCCTTCATTTCATAATTAGATGCAACATTTCTACTGAAATGACAAATGAAACAAGTCAACAAAGCATTCGTAACTTGTTTTCCACAGCGATTTAACTGTAAAAAATGGTTTGAATTCTCTAGAAAAAATGATTCAAAATAATTATTTACAGTCTTGTTGAGAGAATGACTATTTTAATGTGTACTCTTTGTATTCTGTTAGATACAGTTCCCCCCAATTCCACTGCATTTTTAGAAGTTACTGACCTTAATGCGAAGAAACTGAAGTATATTCCAGTTCCCAGGTAAGATTAGTCTATATTGAGGTCTGTAATGCTGGCAAGCTGGAAAAATGCAAAAAGGGATTGTGTGGGATTGGCTTGCATGGTTAGTTTATAGAGACTGGAGCAAAGAAAAGTGTCTGTAATAACCAAACCAGCCTGATTCAGCTTGTCATTTTTTCAGGGTAGCCTGGAAAGAATCAGTTTGACTGCTTTTAACTTCAGAGACATTTTCCTCTCTATTTTATCATTCTTGATATAGCACCAAGCACACATAGTAATATTTAGACAATTTTGCTTCTATTTTTGCAAGCAGACATTCAACCTAATATGTCCTGGTCTGAAATACAATCTTCTGTTAAACAGATTTATGGTGAAGAAAGCAAAGAATGAGGTTTTATCTGCTGAAAGATGTGTGTGGTGATGGCCTGCAGGCAAAAAAGGGCTTCTTTTATTGTTATACTGTACATCATGTTGGTAGTCTTTACACTTTTCTTTTACAAAGTATAGCATGTTATGTGTGCATGTGTTAACTATGACATTTCAGGAAAATAACATTTATATTTATTCTTGTACAATGCTTAAAGCATAATGAAACCCAAGAATAAAAATGAAATATACTGTATTGCCGTTCACCAGTCCTTAGATGTGGTAGGTGCATTACTTTTTATTTCTCAGGCTAGGAGCATTTAATCATTCAAATACAGAAAATGACTATTGACCTTGCCAGAAATGCAGTTTCTGTCACTTTCTGTGAAATGAACTAGAATAATAAATACTCTCATGCTTCTTGTGTAAACTACTAATCCCATCACCACTGTGTAGATGAGCAAGGGCAGTCATGTTTGAAGCCCAATCTAATGTAAAACAAAATCTTGGCACCTTATATATGAAAGATTTAGAGATACTTCTTTAAACAGTAACAAGTACAGTAACCCCTTTCTTTATTCAAAATGGTGTTTTAGGCTATGCAAGCAACATAACTTGAATGCTCTAACTACACTTTATCTACCTTTCATAGGTTACGAAAACTTCATTCCAGGTTTTTTATTCAAATGCATTGTAACACTCAGAGTCAGTGCTAGATTATTTTGTGCCCTAGTCAAAACCTCCTACTTGCACCCCTTCCCCCCAAACAAAAAGTAAAACTTCATCTACCGCACATCCTCTTTCCCCTCAAATCTTCCTTCCTAGCTCAAATCCTCTCCCCCAAATCCCCTTTCCTAGCATAAATCCCCCCAATCTTTCCTCCTACTACAAATCCCCCTAAACCCCTCCTTCTAGCACAACGCCCCTGCAATTTACTTTTTCTCAGCATAAATACTTCCTCCCCACCTAAATCCCCCTGCTAACACAACCCTTCCCAATCCCCCCCTCCTAGCACATTCCCCCCCAATCCCTCCTCCTAACACAAATTGCCCGTCTATCCCTATTCTCCTAGCACAAATTCCCCCCAATCCCCTGTCTAGAAAAAATTCTTCCCCAAGTTCCCCCTCCTAGCACAGCACCCAATCCCCCCTTGTACCACAAATCTCCCCACCCCCCGAAATCCCCTTTCTAGCATAATCCTCCCCAATAACCTCTCCTAGCACAACCCTCCCAATCCTCCGCCTTAACACAAATCCCCCACTCCCAATCCCCTTTCCTAACTCAAATCCCACCCCCCCATCCCTCCTCCTAGCACAAATCCCCCCAGTCCCCCATCCCAGCACCAATCCCCTTTCTTCAATCCCCCCACTTAGGACAAATTCCCCCACACATCCCCCCCACCTTACACAAGTCAAACCCTCCTTTTAGCACAATTTGCTCCTCAAACCTCCCTCCTACCCCTAGCACATATCCCCCCCCCCCTTCCTTCTCCTAGCACACATCCCCCCTCCTTCACAAACCTCTTATCTTAGCACAAATGGTTGTTACCCCTCAACCCCCTTTCATTGTGTACAGTTCCCTCAGCCCAAAAACCTGAAAAACTATTTTTCTTGGAATTAACTCAAAAATACCCTACTGTCTTTCTTTGTATTAATGCATTTTTCCAAGCCAAATCATACATTACCCATTCTATTGCCAAACTTTCAGGCAAACACTGCCAAAATACCCTTGACATCATGCTACAGACAATTAGTGTCCAACAAAAAGCAACTTTAAAAATACTACCTATTTCTGATATACATTAAAAAACACTATAAACAGCTTACCGGTATAAACGATTGGTTATGGTATTTTTGCCAACTGAGTACAACTACATTTTTAAACACATTCAGATATTCTTGGAAGACATTATTAGCAGCTCACTCTGCTTTTATGAGAAATACTACTCTGCTTTTTCCATAAATCAGAGATCTCTCTCTCAAAATCCCACACCTTGATCTATGGTGTATCTGACTCTCGCCACTACCTGGAAATGTAAATTTTGCTATCCTTTACAGCCAAGGGAAGCTGCCATCTTAGCCTCAACTGAGCAGCAGTTGCCATGATTCTGCACATATGACCAATTAGACTAGCCATATGATGGCTTGACTATTCGATTAAGAACTAACATAAGCACACTAGTGACTGTAACAGTTATCAGTCAAGTCATGTCTTTAACTGCTTTTGGAATCTGAGTTAAATCTGGTGGTTTAGTTTCACATTAAAGCGGAGCTCCACCCAAAGGGGAAGTTCCGCTTTAAGGACTGCTCCCCCGCTCCCCATTAAGGATTGGCACCTTTGGGGGGCAGAGGGGGAGCGGGTACCCGAGTTTGACAGGTACCCACTCCCACTTCTGGTCCGATCGCCTAGGTGATCGGAAACGGAAGGTGTCTTCCCTCCCTGTAGTCTTTTGGGACACGTGACAGGTCCCAGAAGACTACAGGACCATTCATAAAGCGCAGTGCTACTCGCGCATGCACAGTGGGTACCCGGCTGTGAAGTCGCAAGCTATCACAGCCGGGTGCCCACACTGAAGATGCCAGCCTCCTGCAATACAGGACGGCTGGTGAAACGGGCAGCGGGGGACACACCGCGGGACTGAGGTACAGGTATGTGGCTGTTTTTTAAAAGTCAGCAGCTACAGTTTTTGCTGCTGACTTTTATTTTTTGACAGTGTGAGTGGAACTCTGCTTTAAGTTCAGCACAGAAGAAGCTGACCTTTGTCACAATTTTGGGAATGCCCCTAAATTAAATGTTTCTTGTCTCAAGTATCTCTCTATGCTAAGACATACTGTTTAAATCTCTTTCCCTCTACATGAAACTGGACATTATTTGGATTTGTCAAATAGAACAAACTGTGATTTCAAAAATTTTATCAGCTGTGGGCATTCATCTTACAAAACTAAATTCAATCTACAACACCCACCTTTTGACAGTTTTTGTAAAGACTAATTTTTTGGTAACACAATTTTGCAACTTCAGCATGTGTTAGTAAAACCATACATATCACCGCCACTACTGTGTGTCTCCAGGTGGATTATACCTTGCTTTTTCAGCAAATTGGGCTTTATTTTTATTTTTTTATTTTTTTATTTTTTTTTTAATCAATTATAGCTGTATATTTCTTGCTACTACTGTAGTCTACACCAAAGAACAACCCAAAGTAGATTGTCCTGCTCTTGTTGATTGCAGCTATATCACGTACAGTTGCAAGAAAAAGTATGTGAACCCCTTGGGATGACGCGGAGTTTTGCATGAATTGGGCATAAAATGTGCTCTGAACATCATCTAAGTCACAACAATAGAAGAACACTGTCTGCTGAACATAATACTACACAAACATTAGATGTTGCCATGGTTTAATTGCACATAACATGTAAACATTCACAGTGCAGGGAGGAAAAAGCATGTGAACCTTTGGACTTAATAACTGGTTGACCCTCCTTTGGCAGCAATAACCTCAACCAAACGTTTCCTGTAGTTGCAGATCAGAGCTGCACAACGATCTGGAGTAATTTTGGACCACTCCTCTTCACAAAACTGTTTCAGTGTAGCAATATTCTTGGGATGTCTGGTGTGAATCGCTCTCTTAAGGTCATGCCACAGCATTTCAATCGGGTTGAGGTCAGGACTCTGACTGGGCCACTCCAGAAGGCGTATTCTGTGCAGTTGTAGCCATTGTTTTGTTGAATTACTTGTATGCTTTGGGTCATTGTCCTGTTGCATCACCCATCCTCTGCGGAGCTTCAGTTGGCGGACAGATGGTCGTACGTTTTCCTGCAAAATGTCTTGATAAACTCTGGAATTCATTTTCCCATCAATGACAACAATCCGTCCAGGCCCTGAGGCAGCAAACCAGCCCCAAACCATGATGCTCCCTCCGCCATGTTTTACAATGGGGATGAGGTTTTGATGTTGGTGTGCTGTGCCTTTTTTTCTCCACACATAGTGTTATGTGTTCTTCCCAAACAACTCAATCTTGGTTTCATCTGTCCACAGTATATTTTGCCAGTAGTGCTGTGGAACATCCAGGTGCTCTTTTGCAAACTTCAAACGTGCTGCAATATTCTTTTTGGACAGCAATGGCTTCCTCCGTGGTGTCCTCCCATGTACTCCATTCTTGTTTAATGTTTTCCTTATTGTAGATGTGTCAACAAAAATGTTAGCATGTGCCAGAGATTTCTGTAGGTCTTTAGCTGACACTCTGGGATTCTTCTTTACCTCATGCAGCATTCTGTGCTGTGCTCTTGCAGTCACTTTTACAGGACGACCAAGCCTAGGGAGAGTAGCAACAGTGCTAAACTTTCTCCATTTGTAGACAGTCTGTCTTACCGTGGACACATGAACATCAAGGCTTTTGGAGATACTTTTGTAACCCTTTCCAGCTTCATGCAAGTCAACAATTCTTGATCGTAGGTCTTCTGAGAGCTCTTTTCTGCGAGGCATGGTTCACATCAGACAGTGCTTCTTGAAACCAGTAAACCCAAAACAGGTGTGTGTTTTTTAAGGGCAGGACAGCTGTCAGCATTTTCTTTTTCTTTTTTTCTTTAATCCTACGTAAAAACACACAGACACTAATTAACTCTAATACTAATTTTAAAAATGCTTTTTTTGAA